CAAAATTGTTCAAAATTATGACCCCTGGGGGTAGGGCGGGGCCACAATGGCTGACCAAAGTTTTACATAGAAATATATAGGAAAATTCTTTAAAAATCTTCTTCTCAAGAATTACAAAGCCATGATTGATTATATTTATATGGAAGCATGCTCAGGTAGTGTTGATTCAAGTTTGTTCAAATCATGACCCCTGGGGGTAGGGCGGGGCCACAATGGCCGACCAAATTTTTAATAAGAAATATATAGGAAAATTCTTTAAAAATCATCTTCTCAAGAATAGCAAATCTATAACTGGTCAAAGGTTTACTTTTGGATTTAAACTTTTCAATAATAAAACCAATTTATACTTTTTCCTTGCCACAGTGGTCAGGTGAGCGATGTGGCCCATGGGCCTCTTGTAAACCTTCAAATCAAAAACTACATACATTCTGTATATGCATAAATACATTTAGATGTATCTAGTATATAAATCTATATCATTTCTCCTCATTAATTAAAATAGCAGTGAAAGAGAAAATGTTCAGAATTACCGTGCTACAATATACCTTGAGGTGGTTTTAATCGAATAGACAACCACTCAACCAATTTCCACCAAATTTGGCATAAAGCATTCATGGTTGAAGGGGAACAAAAATTGTGAATTTTCTTTCATTAAATTCAAAACCATAACATAAACATCTTTAAAATCTTCTTCTTTACTTTATTAGCAATCACTGTGTTGCATGAATGTAATGGCCATTTTTCCTCTACCAAAATTGTGAAATTCATGGCCCCAGGTTCTGGGGCTCTGATCAAACTTTATATATAGTGAAAATGCATTAACATTTAAAAATCTTCTCTGCTTCTAAAAAACTACTTGCCAATTTTCAACGCCTTTTGCCACAAATTGGAATTTTATGGCCCCAGGGTAAGGGGTTCTGGTGTTAGGGTGTGGCTCTATTGATTATATAGTGAGACTACAGAAATTCTTTGAAAATCTTCTTCTCTGCTCCAGGGTATTCAACAAGCTAACTAAGTATATAGTTGTGATGAGCAAGAATGTCTCTTCCAAAATTGTGAATTTTTGGTCACCTGAGTAAACTCAGGTGACCTATTGTATTATGTGGGGTCGTGTGTTAACATTTGAACATTTTAAGCTTCTTCTCTGCAACCACTCAACCAATTTCCACCAAATTTGGCATAAAGCATTCATGGTTGAAGGGGAACAACAACTGTGAATTTCATGGTCCCTGCCGCCTGGGGCCTGAGGGATGGGGCCAAAACCACTAAAATTAATGCAATCTTTAAAAATCTTCAATAGAATTCCTTTTCCAAATTTGTGAATTTTATGGCCCCGGGGGTCAGGGGTTCTGGTGTTAGGGCGGGGCTCTATTGATTATATAGAGAATATACATTAATTCTTTAGAAATCTTCTTCTCTGCTCCTGGATATTAAATAAACTTAATGAGTACATAGTTATGATGAGCAAGAATGCCTTTTCCAAAATTGTGAATTTTATGGCCCCAGGGTCAGGGGTACTGGTCTTAGGATTGGTCTCTATTGATTATATATTAATAAATCTTCGAAAATTTTCTTCTCTGCACCTGGGTATCAAGGGGATGAACTACCTATATAGCTATGATGAACAAGGGCCATTCTTGGGGGGGGGGGCTCTACTTATGTACTGAAAATGAATTAATTAAAATCTTCTCCTTGCAGGTATTAATCAAACATTTTTGATTTGCAAGGGTGCCTTTTCCAAAATTGTGAAATGTGTGGACCAAGGGTCAGGGGTTCATGATTAGTCGAATTGCATTTTTTGTTCCCCTGCCCTGTCTATGGGTATTAAGTAACCAAACGCAGGTAACCTATAAGGCCCATGGGCCTCTTGTTTGCTTATACGGAGACGCCATCATCTCCGAATGCTGACTCTACTTCAACGCCCTTCCATAGCGAATAATGGTGAAATTATTATATGTATCTCAAAATGGCTTCAGGGGCAAAGAATGTATAGTGAAGAAAAGTATTACTGCAACCGTATTAATGGACATTTAATAAGAAATGGTTCGATATCATATAAAGAATGGTTATTGGGCGAAATCTGGTTTGAAATTTAGACTTTCCCCTCAAAATTAGAAAAAAATGTGTGGCACCCGCTATATTAATACCTGGAAAATACTACAGGTCTGTCGTTTTACGGTGTTTTATTGTATGTGTTACGTATTTTTATTACCGGGTATTGAAATTATTACCGCGTATTAAGTCTATCTATGGAAGGCAGTGATAGACATTATTATGAGCAAAGAGCCATTAAATTCATAATACTCTTCAATGCTTTAAGTTTTGTTGCAGACTGGGATGGATTTTCTTCTGCTTCAATATCTTTACGTTGAATATAAAAGCGACAGTTAAAAGTTAAAACCCATCTCCATGTCCATGAATGTTTTGAAGCTGTAAATAAAAAAAATATGGAGTACGAGGGGTTATCAAAAAGTTCGTGGACTGAGGCTATAAAATTAGTACTATGTAGTCTGTGCTTTCAAGATTTATAAGGGATATAAAACAACAAAATATAAAGAAATGTTGAAAATTTTAGCTTGATACGTTCATTATTTGCTAAATCATTATAAAACTAGAGGTACTGTGAGCGATGAGCTCACTAAATGATACCCCTCGCCTCCCATATGGTTTTAACTAATGAAAAAGTCCATGTTTTCCTGTGGCCGGGAAACCCAAAATATGTGTCGGATCAAAAAGTAAAATAGGAGGTGCACAATGGAATATGTAATAAAGATTCTGTGAAAGTTTCATCAAATTTCATTCAGTGGTATGAGAGGATCACCTGGGTACCCCAAAGCGTAACAGACGGACGGACGACGGAAATACCGATTACTATATACCCTCCCGCTTTTGTTTATTGTATGATTGGCGCCGTTGCCGTTTAGTTTCATGACGTCCGACAACGTCATTGTTTTTACAATGTCCACTTCTTCTACCTTATACACTTATTTTTATGAGATTCCCTGGAGCTGAGTAAGGACTAAAACCCGTCTTGTTTATATGACTTTACAGTGTCATGAACAGCGGCTTTCAATTCATATACATGTAATATTGCAAATGGATTTATACATTGGGAGAGATCCTCGCTTGATTGTGCCAGCATATTTTGCTTTTTGAAGTTTAATATCGACAACATATGATCAACGTCATTTTTTGGCATGATTGATTTTTCACACCTTGACTACAAACCGACATTAACTGTGCATCCCTTTTCTCCCTGAATCTATTTTGGAATTAAAAAATAACTACTCTGGATGCATTTTATTTCTCTGTATCCAGTTTAAAAATTTCCTAGGTTTATACCAGTTTTTTCAGGGGCAACACTTTATAGAATGTTAGGAAATGAAACCCCTCCCCTCTTTTGACGTCATTTTCAAGGACCTATTCGTTTGGAAACTCCATGTAAAATTTACCATAAAATTCATAGAACCTTCAGAATGAGGTAAAAATTCCAAATTTTCAAGAACAATAGTGTCCCAACATATACCTGAATTAACGGGATTTTTGGATGTCAAACGTTCATATCAAAAGATATTTTCTCAGTTACAATTAAGTCGAAAAAACGACGTGTTCGAGGTTGCGCCGTCTGGACATACCATTGCTTACAAAATCAGTACTAATTTCTTAAAAATGAAATTAATGATTTGTGGTTGATTCTATAGATAGGAAAGATGATGCTAACTAGATATTTTAAAATTCATCAATGTACCTAAAGCGGTTTTAATTTTATGGCGCTAGTCCACGAACTTTTTTTTGATACCCCCTCGTAAATATAATCCAAAAAAGTGGCGTTTATTTCCTAGCTTAATTCTGTATTTAATAAAAGTTTCTATTTGTCGTTGTTGGTATGCATTAACAGCTGTCAGAAAGAGCTGACAGATATTCTGTGTCGATGTCCTCTTCACAAACAATGGCGACAAGCTACACATTGACATGCTAAATAGATTCTGAGAATTTACGAGTTCAATAAACTCTATAAAGATACATATAGGTGCCAATTATTTCATTTCTTTGTAATAAATGCTACAAATCAAGAAACATTAATTGTTTTAATGTAGATACGAGGGTTGATCCAAAAGTAATGTCACATCTTTGATAAAATTTCTCCTAGTCGACGTAAATTAACAAAATTATACATGATGGAAGCTATATTTATTTTAAATCAGTCCTGAAAAATTCAAATTAAAATGATTTATATTTTTAAAATATCGAATTAAACACAAAGTGCGATTATGGTAGTCGCCGCACCTAAATAACGTCATAAAACGGATATGCGCCGTCATACACTTTTAAAAACGCCTTACCATCGTTTTATTAAAAAAAAATTGATATTCACAAAACATTCACATATTTTATTTTATTTAAGAACAATTGGCACCAATTGTACACTTTATCTATAATTTAATCCTTCATCAAAATTCTTTGAACAATACCATAAGACAAACTTAAAAGTGTCCCATATCACTCAAACTGCCACTAATCTCTTTTACGACAACGTCGACGCCATTGAGCGTTTCCACCCGACCTCCTATCTTTCGGTATTTGTGTCCCCAAATGATCATTTATTTACCTATTAACCGCCCAAAATCTCTGAAACCATCTATGAACAAGTCTCTCGTTAACATTCTCTCTGCGAGTTTGATTTACCATCATAACTTGTGATTTCCCGATTTTGAAGGAAAAATACATTACAACTCGTTTCGGTGTTTTATTCCATTTCACATTTCCTTTCTGCAATACATCAGATATAAACAAAACTATTTATGATGAAAAAAATAACAATGCTGCCATTTAATTCATAACTTAAGATTAGTAAATGTCGTAAATTTTGTCATTAATTGTTTTAATGTAGATATATTTGTATGTTCTCTGTGTTAATTTGTGATTAATTATTTTACTATAGTAGGGTTTATTTAAATCTTCCTTCTTTTAATTAATTGGGTACTTTTTATGCTTTCCAGATTCTACGAGTGGGAATAACCAGTATAAAGTATGTGTCCCTGCCCAATTGTCGGCCCTGGGTCATTCACAACTACAGAGACACTAGAGGGCGCGGGCACCATAGGGAAGTGGTGGCCGAAGCGGTGCGTCAAGATTTTTTTTTAAGGAACCAGTTTTTATATCATTCTTTGTAATTTATGATTTTTAGGAACATTTTTTAAACAAATCTGTACTCCTATATAACAACATTGTTCCAATTCAATTTTCATTATTTTAATCATATTACGAGTGATTTTACTGATACACGTGATGACAGTGATTGGAAAGTTTTAAATTTGAAGGCCATGTGAAAAAAATCTGTATTCGATTGCATATTTGATGGGAATAAAGCGCCAGAAAGTCTTTTTTTTTTAATTCATAAAAATGTAGGAACTTTTGCTATATTAGTTCTTGTATATATTGCTGATAACAGCAATAACTTTGAAGAACATTCTTCTTTAATATCGTGAGAAAGAAAATTTTAAAAACTGATAAAAATCGAGGTCGATGATTAAACGGTAAGGCCAATTTAATGTAGTGGTTTTTCAATTGTATGAAAACATCTAATGAAATTCGTGTACGTTGAGAGAACCCGTGGTTTCACAGGTTTGTAGTTACTGTCTTTTATTATTGTAAGGTATAGCTACAAAATATTGTATTTACAGTCATCTCAAAATGAATTAAGAGTTACTTTAAAGTCGGTCATCAGATATTGAAAGGGAAAAAACTTCAAAATTCTTATTGATATGATAGGGGAAAAAAGCAAATTAGCTCAAAGGCCCGAAAATCAATGTCGCTAAAGGAAAAAGAAAGATAACTCTATACTGGTCATAGAACGTAGGAGGTTTTATGTACGCGTCATAGAGAAAGATTCTTTACAGTGAAATTATTTTCTTTTTTTTATATAGAAGGAAGACCAACTGTTTTTAAGTAAAGACTCCTCTAAAGATAACTATAATGAGACACTGCAGAGTTCTACAAAATCAAACACTGAGCTGCTATCTGAAAAAGCAGAGCAGCAGTCTGGAAAATCTACACAAAGTTCTGTCAAACCAGAGATCGAGGATGAAAACTCTTCCACCAGCCTGGTGGACACGAAAACCTTAGACGATGACGAAGTAAAGAAAAGCGTCTGTGAAAAAGAGTCAGCTGAGGTCCAAATGACAGCGACCAAGGTCACATCAGTTACTACCCAAACAGAAATTAACGAAAGTCCAGAGAATATTGAATCAGAAACGACAGATGGTGGACCAGGAGTTGAAACCTTGAGCGACAGAAAAGGAAAGGAGCTGATTAACACCCGATTAGGACGATACACAAGGTCAAGGTCACCCAAAAAGAAGACGCAGGAAGAAAATGATTCAATTCCTGTAGGACCCAAGGCATTAAGGTTTCGGATTGAATGATTGTCTTGAATATGCTAATTGGAGTCGTATGACATTTTTGAAAAAATGTATGTACATGTACTTGATTATTTAAGAGATTTGCATGGTCAGAATATATCGCTGGTATGAAGAATGACCCCCCCCCCTCCAAAACAAAAAACAAGAAGATCATGTTAATCGATTCTGAAATTTTCCTCGTTGTTTGAACTGATTTTGCATTATTTTTATAGCACATATGAGAAGATCCGCCTTCAGATTATGCCGTGGAAGAAACCAGAAGGCTACCTTAACAAGTCGGTCTTCTCCTTCATGCTTCAGGCGGTACTCCTGTATATCGTGTCTAACCCCGGCATCTCCTTCACTAACATATGTAACCGCTACCTGCCTTACCTCATACCCAGTCATCTGACGGAACTATTGGAGGTAGGTTATGTTAAAAGGAAGCGAAAAGTCAACTACATTTAAGTTTTAGTTTTTCTGAGTTGTTGGTGATCACATTTTATCAGTTTATGCATCCTCAGAAATAGTAAAAAGTATGTCATAGTGACTTATTTTTTAGTGCACGTAAGTACCAAGAATTTAATTTTCCTCCCCCCTTCAGGATCTTAAAATATCTTTGATGAAGGAATGAATTTTGGTGTTACCGATATTTATCAGTAATTATTAAGTAGTTGTTCTGTATATGTTTATTGGGTATAGATAATTGTTATTCAGAATTTTTTCCTTTTACTTTATAATATATTACCTGTTTATAGATACTGGTAGAGATAGGTTGTTTATTCAAGACCATCTTGACCAGAGAACCTACTCTTTCGCTGTTTTCTTCTTACCAGGCTCCAACACAGGGTAAAGTATACTATCATATCATTCATTTAATGCCTATTCATTATGAAAATCATATTCACTCAAATCGAAAGTAAAATTGATATGTTTTTTAGCAGTTCCCAAAAACTTTTTTTCTGAATCATCAGGAAATTATGAAAATCCTTAACATTACTTTTTGTGTAAAAAAGCAGAGAATGAGATAAAACTACTCAGACTTTCCATTTTAGAGTGATTATCATTTATAAAAGGATGGTGTTTGGTTTAAATTCGCTTTAAAGAGAGCAAAAACTGTTAAATGTATAATCGGTTCCTCCTTATATATGATTTCAGTGTCGGAGTCAGAGCAGTCAGTAGCAGACTGTGTCTTTTACGAGGCGACATTTAATGCCATCCCCTTACTGGCTCAGTTCCTGGAGGATGTCCAAAACACAGATTCCGTACAGCTGCACCGGGCCAGGAAAAGGACGCAGCCTGACGCAGATACTGTGTACCCAGGGGGAGAGAGTCAGAAACGAGAAGTCGATCAACAAGAATCACCTGAAAATGTTACAGGTCAGGATAATAGTTCTGAAATAAATGCTGCTTATCCAGGAGATATTACAGAAGTCTCTGATGCTGGAACGACTCGGGGCTTTATACCTGATCACCAGATGATTCAAACTGTGGTGTCATTACCGGAAGAAGGAGGAAATGACGCAATAAGTGGAAGAAAGGATATGAAGATAGAAGACAGTGCTGGTGGCATGAGTTTACAGGAGAGTATGAATATTGACCAAGCTACAGAGTCTTCATGTATTGACCCAGCACCAGAGTCTTCACATATTGACCCAGCACCTGAGTCTTCACGTATTGACCCAGCACATATTGACCCAGCACCAGAGTCTTCACATATTGACCCAGCACATATTGACCCAGCACAAGAGTCTTCACATATTGACCCAGCACCAGAGTCTTCATGTATTGACCCAGCACCAGAGTCTTCACAAATTGACCCAAAACCAGAGTCTTCACATATTGAACCAGCACCAGATTTTTCACATATTGAACCAGTACCAGAGCCTTCACATATTGAACCAGCAATGGAAACTTCTCATATTGACCCAACAATGGAAACTTCACATATTGACCCAGAAATAGAGACTTCACTTTCAGAATGCCATTCAGTAGACATGACATGAAGAGGAGGAGAAGTGATTTTGTGAATCTAGTCCAACATCTGAAAAGATGGACCAATCCTAATAATGCATGATGACTTCCTGTCAGCAGTGACTAGAGGCTAGCCAGGCTGTTTTATTTTTTTATGTGTAAGGATTTTTTTTTTTGGAAATAGTGAATTTTATTGACTATAATATGAATACCATGCTAAGAAAGATATTATTAAATGGTGTTTTTAATTAAGTTATAGCTTCTTAATATAAGAAGAAAGAAGAGGAACGCAGATTGAAGCATAACTATGTTTCAAATGTCTTCAAGTGCAATATTATTGCGCACTTTATAATGCAGTCTTCAACGTTTTAGTAACATTCATGTGTTCTGTTTGAAGTGTGTTTAGTAAGTGAGGCTGGTGTATTTATTTTTTCTTTATATATCACTTTTTGTATGGCAAGGTCACAATAAAATACATTTAAACAATATTATGTGCGTGTTCGTATTATGATTAGTGCCCATTAGTAAGCTGAAATTAATTGTTACAAGTATTTGAGTGGTTTTAATACCAGCATGTCACAAGTATTGAAGACAGACATATAATTATATCAGTTGCTGAAATTTTAAGTTAAGTACACGTATATTTCTTAATAAAAGTTTGTCCTAAATTATATATCACCACAGCTCTTGTACTTTTACTCAAAATGTAGATTTAAAATTTTACAGACATACCTTCACACACCCTCACAGTCGCATATCACACACATTAAATGTATTTGTCATTATTAAAAAATAATATTTGTCTAGTGTCAACAAATATTTAACTTTATTAGTTAACGGTACATGTATACATGTGTATTCTCAGCTGTACTTTAAAGTACTTGTTTAGAAGGGATTGCTTAAGTCTAAAAATAAATATTGGGTCCCTGAAGTCTAAAAATAAATATTTGAAGGGTAAACCGTTGTAAACATTGATTTACAATGTACAACAAATTCTTTAAGGTTATTGATCCGAACTTGGTAAATACAGGTAAAATTTCGTCAGAAAAAAATCGACGAAATCTCTTGTTTCGATTTCACTAGATCGACCAACGACCCTTTACTCGGAACGCATCATAAATTTTGTTTAAACGAAGATATATCTATACATCTGAACGTGGTATAAATTAGGACACAGTAACGAGAAGACACGCTTTGTGAAGTACAGATACAGTCAAATATTCACGATGAACCGACAGAATCTGGCAGATTTTGGGGCCTACACTGCTATAGGATGCGTCTCCATGTTCGTGGGCTCAGCATACTATGTTAACTTTGTCCAGACTCCTGCAATGATGCAGGTCAAAGACACAAAGGCGATGAGAGCGTTATGGAAGGAGATGTTTGTACGAGCCAAAAAATACCAGGTAAATATACTGCTAAATATGCATGAAAATAGTAAGAAGGACCTGCATAATTTAATATAAAGTGTGACACACGATAAAGGTTGTTAACCTTGACACTTCATTCTCTAATGTCTTGTGTGACTGAATCCATGGTTCTCAGATGTTTGCATGAAAAATGAGGCCCTGATCTTATGTTCCAGTAATTGTTTTGTGAATATCATTTTAATGTGCATAGTAGATGCATGCTTACATTTTTAAAGCACCTATAATATTGGAGATGTTCATTTTACTATTGGTCTCTTTCATCATGTCTTAAAAATATTTTTATCCTTTCCCCCAAACTGGACGTCTTTCATATCTGATAGCGCCGTTGTCTTGATAAAAATGGGGAAAAAATATCGATACTAGCAAACATGCACGTACATGCATGGTTCTGCAATCTGCCCAGCGATAATGCATTATCTGTTTCCGACGATTGCGACATCTTGATATATTTAGAATCGGTAAAATGACGATCGGAAATATCCGTTAGACAATCTTTCTAGATCGATTGCTTCGGAAATCAATGGAAAATCATGATGATGGCACTTACCCATTTGTTTAAAAAAAGCTTTTAATCTGTCAGGGGTGGATAGAAAATTTCCAGGAAGGGTACAATATATGCAAAAGAAACGCACAGAGTGCTTATGAGATTTAACTTTTATAAGGATGCATACGTTCTTTCATTTTAGTCCCTTTCCCCTTTTATCCCAAAATCTGTCAATGTATGAAATATTTCATTTAAGTCTGAGATTGATGTATATACCTTAAAGAAGAATTAATCATTTCTTCGTCTTGTTCAAATTCCAATAACCGTGTTTGACTGTCTGCTTGTAGAGTGGTTTTGCATTGACATCAGCAGCCTCGGCAGTTCTGGTGGGACTTCACGAGCAGTCTAAATACCGATGGCTGTGGTTCGGTAGCGCAGCAGCCATCTTGGCTGTTGTCCCCTGGACGTTTATTGTTATGATGCCAGATATAAAGCGTCTCTTGGAAGACGACGTGGTCGAAAAAGAGGGTAAGACTGATTTAAACATTGAAAAGATTTTCTGAATTTTTTGAAATCACTGGAAAAAGAAATATAATTTTCATATGTCACGAAATTTATGCGAATATATGCTGGTTTTCTAAGGTACCAAGAACTTTGCGGTGCATTTTGTGGCATGAATATCAAATTTATGCTTTTTCTAAAGTCAGTCAATTTCAACCAAACTTATCTGTGGAGATAATCAAGAAATTTATGCGAATATATGCTGGTTTTCTAAGGTACCAAGAACTTTGCGGTGCATTTTGTGGCATGAATATCAAATTTATGCTTTTTCTAAAGTCAGTCAATTTCAACCAAACTTATCTGTGGAGATAATCAAGAAAAGTACACCAAAGGACTCAGAATTAAACAGGAAAAAAATGCATCCTTCCTTAATTAAGACCAAGAAACTTAATTCGTTGACCTAATCACCCACTTGAAGTGCATATTAACTTTCTCCTGCGTATGGATAGTTTTTAAGATGGGCCACATATGCAACTTAATATTTTATGCATAATGTAATCAATTGGTTTTATTGTTAAAGGAGAACAATGGGTCCGAGACAAGATCCGCCTTTGGAGTCGTCGTCATGGCGTCCGGACCGCCCTCTCTGATCTCAGTGCCAACCTTATGTTAGCCGCGGTGTACATGACCCGGATGTAAACTTGTGAATGGCATCGTGTATGACCCGGAAGTCCAGGATGTAAATTTTCTCTTTGACGCAAGGTGGGAAATGACAAAAACATTTAAAATTGTGGTATATTAATATATGGTGTGCGATTGAATAGTGAGTGATATCAGTATTAGATACTGATGTGATCTTTTATATTTTTTCTATCTTTTTGGTATGATGCATGGTGAAACATTGTAATCCTGATTATGATATATTGTGAAGTTTGACTTCATTATTTTACAGTATTTCCAATTATTGCATTGGATACAGTAAAAAAGACTTTTAATATATTCTGCAGCAAGAATCCTTTATGTATTACGAAGTAATGTGATTTTTTTTTTCAGATATACATGTGTATTTTGCAGCTAGAACCTTTTAATTGTATTACAGAACGATGTGAATAAATTATTTAACAATTTTTTTTATTTTGTGGGTTATTATACTGGCCCTATTTATATATTTATACTAGTATAAAGATTGATAACATCATAAGGTATTAAAAGAAAACTATTTGTTTCCATGCAAGTAAAATCAAATTCCGCCTCAGTTGGTTGCTTTATTTTATGTTCACTGATCGAGATTTACATAATTGACAAAATGATCCTTGAAAAATTAAATTTAGCTGAGATTTTTATTATATCAATATATAGTATACATGTATGCCTAAGTTCTAATCCTTCATTAACTGGACACCCTTTAGCCGTACTCGTCACTAATGGTACACTTCATTCCAAACTTGAAATTATGTATTCTCCCTTGATTTATCATGGTATACTTCATGTATCCATCCCTTTAATTACTTGAAATTAAATCTAACTCTGAAATATCTTGTAAAATTAATCGTTTTCTCCTCTAACCCGGGAATCCCTGTATTGGTCACTATAAATGGTATGTTCCATCATTCTTGCCCTAACGGTAACAGGTCTGTACATACTTTAGTTTTACCTTTTCTTTCCTTCATTTGCTTGGAAATCCTGTTTCTGTCCCTCTATTTAATCCGTAAGTTACATATATAACTTATCCATCTTCTTTTTGGATATGAATCCATTTAAAATATATTAAGCTTCACCTGCTCCAAACCCACTCACCCACCCCTTAGCTGCAGAACTAGCTCTCTAATCGAGAAAATTCGTACAAATAAAGGACCTCTCTTAAATCTCTGCTTTATCTGTCCGGATTTTCTCAAACAGAGAGCTACAGTTCTGAAGCTTCCCACTCTACCCCCGTACCTGGTAAACATTCGTTCCTCCATTAAAGGTACTTGGAGACAGACTTGAAGTCAATATTTTCTCTATAATATTACGACTTATATATTTTAATAGCATTTCACACAAAAATTAATTAAGAATCTTATTTCATTTAAAAGTTATTAAAACTTCAAATTTTTTGGCGGGTTTGATTGACACATCCTTGCACTTTCACAAATTTTAACCTTATTCTTAATCCTTAGGAAAAGTGGCAATCTTGTTGTGTATTAATGAGAAATATTAAAACTTTTATCTAGAAAAATGATTTTATTCAGAGTAGATATATTAGAAAGCAAAACTCCTTCACAAGTATCGTCATTCCGAACTAAGAGTTGCGTACAGAGTTTAGCAAATCGAGCACACTCGTGTTATGTACACAGTTTTTGTAAACAGGGCACGAGTTCTGTTATTGTTTATGTTTACAATTCACCGGGTGCGTTCAATCGTCACAGTGTGCTTACCACAACTGCACGGACTGACAATATATTGTGTGTTTGTTTTGCTTTCAAACATGTCTACTCTGAATTTTTCTGGATTATAGTATTAATATTTTTCATTTATACAAAACGAGATTGCCACTTTTCCTACGGATTAAGAATAAAATTAATTTGTGAAATTGCAAGAATGTGTCAATCAAACCCGCCAAAAAATTTTAAATTTTGATATCTTTTAAATGAAATAAGGTTTTTAATTAATTTTTGTGTGAAATGCTATTAAAATATATAACTAAGTCGTAATATTATTGAGAAAATAAAAACTTCAAATTTGTGTCCAAGTACCTTTAACTTATTTTCCTATACATTATGTACTGTACTATTATTTGTTCCTACTTTGTCTAATCCTGATATCCCATTCTTACATCGGTATTTTTTATGTAAAACTCTAAGGTCAATGAATATCAATACCCAAAGAAAGGTCATGTCTCGGTGAATACACATTTAAAATATACTACATGACAGCCGTATAGAATCAACCATTCAGAAATTATGGTCAAGGTCAAATTTTTTTAGCTCACCTGAACCGAAGGCTCAAGTTAGCTTTTCTAATCACATTTTTTCCGTCGTCCGTCTGTAAACTTCTCACATTTTCGACTTCTTCTGAAGAACCATTGGGTCAATTTTAACCAAACTTGGAACAAAGCATCCTTGGGTGAAGGGAAATTTAAATTGTTGAAATGAAGAGTCAGGTCCTCTCACAAAGGAGATAATCAAGAAAAGACACAAATAGGGTGGGTCATTAAAAAATCTTCGTTTCAAGAACCACTGGGCCAGAAAAGCTGAAACTTATGTGGAAGCATCCTGGGATAGTTTAGCTTCTAAATTATTCAAATCATGACCCCCGGGGGTTGGGCGGGGCCACAATAGGGAATCAAATTTTTACAGAGAAATATATAGAAATATTTTATAAATTTTCTTCTCAAGAAACACTGGGCCAGAAAAGCTGAAACTTATGTGGAAGCATCCTGGGGTAGTGTAGATTCTAAATTGTTCAAAGCATGGCCCCCGAGGGTTGGGCGGGTCTACACTAGAACGAAAGTTTAACATAGAAATATACAGGAAAAATCTTTAAAAATCATCTCAAGAACCACCGGGCAAGACAAGCTGAAACTTATGTGGAAGCATCCTGGGGTAGTGTTGATTGTAAATTGTTCAAATCATGACCCCCTGGGTTGGGCGGGGCCACAACAGGGAATCAAAGTTTTACTTAGAAAAATATAGGAACAAACTTTAAAAATCTTCTTCTCAATTAAGAACTACTTGGCCAGAAAAGCTGAAACATATGTGGAAGCATCCTAGGGCAGTGTAGATTCTAAATTGTTCAAATCATGACCCCCTGGGTTGGGCGGGGCCACAACAGGGAATCAAAGTTTTACTTAGAAATATATAGGAAAAATCTTTAAAAATCTTTTTCTCAAGAACCACTGGGCCAGAAAATCTGAAACTTAGGTGAAAGCATCCTGGGGTAGTGTATATTCTAAATTGTTCAAATAATGACCCCAGGGGTTGGGCGGGGCAATAGGGAATCAAAGATTTACATAGAAATACATAGAAAAAAAACTTTAAAAATCTTCCCAAGATCTACTTTGCCAGAAAAGCTGAAACTTATGCGGAAGCATCCTTGGGTAGTGTAGATTTTAAATCGTCGAAATTATTACCCTTGGGGAACGATGGGGTCACAATAGGTATTACAAGGGGGAATTCTGGTTAAGAATAACATGGTCAAAGCTTCTCATGTGAGCGATGTGGCCCATGGGCCTCTTGTTTAATTAAAGATCATACTACAAGGTCAAGGACATTAGGTCAGTTATAAAAAAAGGGCTTGTCACAAGATACATGAAATTTCAAAGCGTGCTATAGCCCCAACCATGTTAAGGTCATGGGCATGGTTCAAGTTTTAGCGAACAAACGGATTAATAATCAACAGACAGACTGAAAGACACAAATTATATGCCTCCGAATCTTTGATTCAGAGAACATTATAATTATGTTCGTATTCCAAGACAACACTGAAAAATCTATAAAGTTTAAAGATAAAATCTATAAAGTTTAACAGAATCTGTTTTTGGTTTATTAATATGATGTTAAATAAATTATTTAATTTTAGAAAAATGAATGATAAAAATAATAGGATATTGGTAAAATTTACATAATAGGGACGATAAAATCTTTTATATGATAATTTTCATAAAATAATAGATGTTATCTGCACAGTCTTCGAAATAAGAAATAACGGGTAGCGTAGCAGATGTATGCACCTGTAAATATGAAACTAGGTCATTGTTCTATCACGTAGACTGAAAGTACAGTCGTGCCATGGATAAACAGAAGTTATTGGATTTGGCGGGATATGCTGCTATAGGATGCAGCGCCTATTTTTCAGGGGCTGCCCTGTATATAAATGTGGTCCAGGTACCCACCATGTTTGCCGTGGCGCCTGATACTAAAACTCTGCTGAAGGAATGGAGAGAGACGTTTACACGTGCCCGTATTCTCCAGGTTTGTTGTTAGATATTTCATGGACTAATTATAGTTTCTCACATGTAATATAATTATTATAGATCCCGGGTTGTACAACATTTATTTATTTCATTATCAAATTCTTCCGTATTGAAATATTCTTTAAGTCAGACTAACTACGTGCGTTTTAACATGTATTTGCATTTACGGAAACCGGTATATGCGATAAGTAAAAAAAAAATTAACCGCAAGCCACACAATTATTTTTATGCCCCTGGATAGATCTCGGGGTATATATTGTTTTTGTCCTGTCTGTCTGTTTGCCAGTCTGTTGTCAACTTTATTCTTGCCCATAACTACGCATGTATTGCGCTGTCAAGGGTAAGACTTTAACAATGTTTAATATTTGACATTCATGGGTGTTCATTATGACAAGACCTTTCCATTGGTACAGAATTTTTTATCATGTGACCTTAACTGTGACCTTTAACATACATTTAAAATCTTTAAAACATTTTAGAAGTGTATACCAATTTAGTCTACGTCCAGTTCCAGAGATGTGTTACCATCGGGAGCATAGAGTTTCACAAACACATCTTGTATAAACATATTTTTATCCTTTATAAATAACATTGCCTTACGATATTGTACCTGATCTACACACAGGCACCTTTTGCTGTACTGGGTGCGGCCTCTGGATTGGCCATGTACTATTTCACTGACCGCGGTCAGTATCGCTACCTCTGGTTGGCTGGAGCTTTGACTTTACTGACCGGTATGCCGTGGACCAAACTGGTCATGATGCCAGATATCAAAAAACTCCACGAAGACGACATCCTGGAAAGGAAAGGTAGGGTCTTGTTTTATTGACTAGATGAAAATGTCCAACTGAGGACTATTCTAATAAACTATGTGTCCCAAACGTGATGTTTTATACTTTTTTATTGTTAATTTATGAAATTAGTACTAATTACATTTAATTTACTGGATTTCCTATTTATAGGATAGCTGATTCGATAAAGCATGTTCTAAGTACATTTTTTTTTTAAACTGAGGATGACGATTGACTAATAAGTTGATACCTTCAAAGGGATCGTACAGGACATTTTTTTGTAATTTTATGAGATATTAACCAATCAATAAGAATATTTTTTTTCAGGTGAGACTTGGATTCGTGAGAAGATCGCACGCTGGAACCGACTTCATGGCTTCAGAACAATAACATCGGGTTTGGCCTTCCACCTCATGATGGCGGCCGTTTATCTTGATAGAATGACGTAATAAATAAACTAGGACTAGGAAAGTGTATTATATAGTGAAAAGTTGCTATTTTGCACAATTTTATATGAAGTCTAATAATAAAATTTTAATTCAAGAACTTTGTTAATTTGAAATAGAGGTTGACTGATTGATTATAGTTGCTTTTGTTGGTTTCAAGTTGGTAAGATCGTCTGACTTAGTAACTTCTGAACCTAGAGACTTATATTAGGCCCCAAAACAATAAACTGAGAACATCCTTAACCTTAAGTCAAGTTTTCTGGTCAATATAATTTTTAAAATTATTTTGATAATGAAACAAAATTTTCAACATGTTATGTTTTTCATGCGCAGATTTTTAAATGATTAGCGTTTGCATTTTCATATTTCACAGCTATGTTTAATGAGAACAAGTCCTTTCTTTTTGGTCACATTTTTCATCTTCTGACTTAGGAGTTTGACTTGTAAGAAACATCAACCTTAGCCAAAGGCTGTCTTACGCCATTTTGGCGGTATCAGTGTTTCACAAATTTCTTGTTTCAATAAAAATTTACTTACCTTGTCGTTGGTCATTTGAAAAATTATCCTGATTGTATATATAAGTACTCTGAAGTTGATATTAAGAAGTTGCTTGGGTTTTTCATTGACAGTGTCGATCAGGTCTTCCAACAATCTGTTAGTATTCCACGTTTATCAATTGTGCTCCGTTACTAACATACTTTATGTTGTCTGCCGCTTTCACTTAAAGTGGGTGGTATTAATTTCTGTCTGTCTGTAATACCTTAATTTTCGCAAGATACTATGTACAGTATATAGAAAATCATTTGAGCGTAAGCAATGAAATTATAAACATAACTTCCTATGGCCTAAAAAAAGACATATTGATTTTTAGGTCAAAGTTCAAGATCAAAAATTCAACTCGACATTTATCAATTAACATTTAGTTAATTCAATCCATGTGTTTCGATGTAGCTCAGTGAGCTTTCCTTACGTATACTAGCAATACACCCCCATCAAAGTCAAACGCGCTTGCATGCTATGAACAAGTTGATGAAATAAGGATACCAACTTTCTAGTTTAAAGTTATCATTTCACAAAAGTTTTTTTGATCGATGCAATGACCGTGTTAGCAAATACAAATAAACCTATCATTGAATCATTTGCTAATGAACGTTGTCTACGTTTCTTTTCGTTTTTCCCGGTCACGCCAGCCCACGGAGAACACATAAGGTGGTTCTGACGGTTTTACAGGGAATGTTCACTCCCCCAAAGGGACCTGATCCCGCCTCTGATGTTTTGCAGACCCATGTTTGCTCTATTTTCAAGGGGGAGAGGGGTTAAACTTTCTTCATACATTGCAACTAAAAGTGGAGGGGATACGCTTTCAATAAAAATAAATGCACATACGTATGTTTATTAATGTATAGGAAAAATACAAAGGAGTAGCAAAAAGTACTAGCAGTAGCAATTTTGTCAACATTAAGAATATATGGATTGAGGGGAAAAGCGGATCTCCTGTTTATAACTGAATGCATTAGAGGTTAACGATCGCATTTTTTCTGTCAGCAAAATTTCTTTGTGTGAATGAAGTGTTATATTTCATCATATTATATGAAGAGATGATTTAATCTTAATATCGTCGTAGGCTTTTCTTTGGATCAATAATGTGTGACCTCAGGTGATCTCTAATATGATCATTTAAAACAGGTATTTCGTAAGAAAGCGGAGTTATTCTGACTGATAAAAAAATTAGGTCATTTAAGGTCAAAATTAAGTAAACAAATGAAGTGCACGCGTTCGCAGCTCCTCGGGAATTCCAAAACATTAGATGTGAACTGACAATGGATCGACAGAAACTGCTGGATTTGGCGGGATTTGCGGCTGTGGGCTGCAGCGCTTATTTTTCGGGGGCGGCATGGTACATCAATCTGGTACATGTACCCACACTTTTTAGAACGGTACACGACACCAAGACACTGCTGAACGAGTGGAGATTGTGCTACTCACTCTCTCGAAAGTACCAGGTAAGTGGGTTTTATATTTTTGCGTAGTTCATGTAAAGGCGCGGATCTAATTTGCTAAAAGAAAAAAAAAGTTTTTCTTTATAAATCGGACCATTTTAGAAAGTCTGTCGGGAGAGGAGAAACTAAATTTTTTTTTTTGAAGATGAACCTTTTCATTTTATGTATACCGGGGATAATAGTACCGTTAGTTTTACCAATCTAATTAAAATTAGTACCCATCCGCTCCAACTAGATCGCTACACATATGGAGCGGATCAAAGATCTAAGTTATATTAAATTTACTTGCATAAGTTGCGCGATTGAATTAATGAACTTTTTATCCGCCCAGATCGATCGATAGATCCGGGGTGTATATTGTTTTTGTCCTGTCTGTCTGTCTGCAAACTTTAACCTTCGCCTTAACTTTTGAACTGAAGTTGATGATGAATGAAAGAGACTTTTAAAATATTTGGTATCCTTACTCCACTAATGAAGTTCTTTTAAATGACACCAAGGTGAATAACCCTGTGATCTTGATTGAGACCTAACTGTTAAAGATAGTTTTTTTTTTGTCTACAAAATATAACCTTCGCCATACCTTTTGAATCATGAAAGATAGAGAATTTATATATGGTATGCATAGTCTACTAATAAAGCTCTTTTAAATACTAGTGATACCAAGGTGAATGACCTAGTGACCTTGACTATGACATATATGCTAAAAATAGCTTTTTTTAACCTTCACCATAACTTTTATACCATGAGAGATAGAGACTTAATATTTAATATGCATACTCCACTTTCAAATGACACCAATGTCAATGACCTTGTGATGTTGTTAACTATATGCTTAAAATAACTTTTTCGAATTTTGTTGCCGCCGGGTGCATAGTGTTTCACAAAAACATCTTTTTTTTCAAATTGCTCGTTTTCTATTAATCATGAATGTATTGTATCTCTGGATAAAATTAGTTGGATGGCTTTACCTTTAATGGAACTATAAATAATACAGGTTTACCTTGAAATTTTCCCATTAAGATGTCATGAATTTACTTTTTGATACTAAAGGTTATTTTAAAAAAATGATGCAAAAAATATTAATATTGCTGACAGTTTTTAGTGTGTAAACTTGATGTTTTTCTACACAGGGTAAACTGGCGTTACTAGGCGCCTCCTCGGCGGCGGCCGTGTGGTACTTTAGTGACGTCAGTGACCACCGCTGGTTGTGGCTGGCTGGCGGCCTTACCTTTATATCGGTGTGGCCTTGGACATTGCTGGTCATGATCCCCGATATAAACCGACTACTGGACGAGACCGTCCTTGAGAGAAAAGGTTAAGTTCAATAACTGATTGATTGTTGATTTGAATTGATGTATGGTGACGATCATTTGCAGCAAAGTTCTGTGTTTCATATTACAGGAATTTGTTATTTTTGAATTAACACTCTACATGTTTATATATTTAACAATCTTTTTGGGAGCCTCAAAATTCAGTCAGTACATATTTTTAATATGTTTTTTTTTTAAAAATTGATAAAAAATACAGTAATAATAAAAAATTTGATGTATATCTTGCTTTATTCAGGTGAAACTTGGGTGAGAGAAAGAATCCAGGTGTGGAATAAACGACACGCCGTCAGAAGCCTTGTGTCCAGTTTGGCCTTTGATTTGTTTATGGCCGCTATCTACTTGAACCGGATGACGTAGGAGGAAGTACGTCTTCAACCGGACGACAATTACGGAGACCGGAAATGAATAACCTAAGGTTATTCTTTAGAAGGGGAACGGAGTTGTTAAGTTCGCATGAAATGAATAAATGTAGTTCATAGTTTAGTTAGCGACTCCAGAGGCTGTAAGAGACATTTATCGACAGGGACAAGTAGTTATGTAGTATTAGGTGTAGTGTCCCGTATAAAATGTTTTATTGGACGTTCAGTATGTATCTTTGGCAAATGGAAGTTCTGAATTCATCCTGTAAGATTTATCATAAAAGTGATCTTCGTAGAACTACTGCATAATAAAAATTACCTGTCGATATGATAATGTTTTAATTACTTTTTTCATAGCTGACTGTGACTCATATGCGCTTTCATGCCCTTTTGAATTGAAGAACAAGTTGTGTTTGTAAAACAAAGATGCCCCCGGACTAGGGCTTCCATATTCACCGATGTATTCCTTTTGACAAGACCTTTCGTTGGGTACCACGACCTTTTATATCTATTTCGACAACCTCTGAATGGCTTTAAGTCTTTCTTACTTCATTTTATATCCATTTAGACAACTCTCTAACCAGGTTATAATCCCATTAGCATTTGAATTTATGATAGATAATTTGCCTTAATGTTAAGCTAAATTATATTTGCTGACAATGACGACAATGTCATTGCATCGACCATAGAGCTTACGAAATGGTGAGTAGTAATAAGGCATCTGTCTTGAAACTTTTCGAACAACCCTGGTATATAGCGTAATTTACATTTACAGATATGATTGTTATGTCTGAGCATGAATTTAAGAAACTGTGCATAAACAAGGAAATTATTAATTATCTTAACATATTTTTTCTAAATATATGTTAAATGAAAAGTGATATTACAGTTTTGACTCATCTGAGAAAGCACAATGAAACGTTACTAAAAACTGCTCTTTCAAAAATCCATCTATCAGCGAGAGTTATCTTTCTTTGAAAATAATTAATGTACTTACTATGTGTTTTGTGAGCAATGAGCTCACGACCCCACCCCCCCAATGGAAAAGTCTATGTTTTCCCATGGAGACCCAAAATAAGTGTCAGATCAAAGAATAAACAAAAAGTAAAATAGGAGGTGCAAAATGACTTGTGAAACTATGATTAACTACTCTTAACTATAGTTCACGATTGTAAATTATAGTTAACAGACATGAATCTATGTTTATGAACAAAATCTATTGTTAACGTTTTATTACAGACAGATAAACTTAGATTAGCATTCGTGAACTATAGTTAACAACTGTTAACACGAATTGTTAACTATAGTTCACGGTTTGTAAACTATAGTTTACAGTCGATTTAATTTAATTTAATCAATATTTTATTATGTTAGATCACATAATTGGATTGGACATCAGGCATGGCCTATATAAGTCCTCTCCAAGGTCGATAAACCTAGTTTATTAATTGTGAAACTATGTTTAGCTCATTTTTGTGAATTTGGCATGCCATACTTATGATATTTGGACAGCTTCGAAATATTTAATTTAATTTCATCAATAGTTTATTATGTCAGATTACATAATTGGATTGGACATCAGTATTCGAATTATTATCATGTATACATGTACATATAATAATTATACATGTATACGTTCAGAATATATATATTGTATGTTCAGAAATTACCGGATCGTTTCGTTAACATACCTTAAGATGTACCTATATTGTAACTTATCTATGTTGAATATCAGGTTGTTTTTGATTGATCAGAAATCTTGATGTACTTGTAGACATTAAAAGTCCCTCAAGTACGTAATAATTTGAAAAGACTGGATTCAGTTACGCATATCACGACTTCACCGGTTATGTAGGAGTCACCCGCAGGCCATAAACAAAATTAATGGTCAGTTGGTAGACTATTTTAAAAGGTTTGGTTGAATGAACAGATTTTAAAAATATTTGGCTGTGGACAGTTCGTGATCATCTCATGACCTCAATTTCACTCGGCATGTAAAGGAACACAATGATTTCACTTATTCATCATATTCCACCCACTTGACGCAAAATTGTGCAATTCTTTTATTTAATTCCTTGATTGTACTTAAAGGAACGACCATTAATTTGACCACCACACTGGAAATACAGTCATTACATGATTTTTTAAAATCTTGATTGCGTTCACGCACAGTGGATGTAAACTGTAGTCAATATGCCGCGTCCATATGTCATTATTCTAATTTTATTAAATTATTCTATGAAATAGAACTTGAGTTACACAGTTAAAAAAAATATTTCTATATCTGCAGAATGTCCTGTTTTCAGGCAAGTGGCAAGTGGTTAGATAAAAATAATATTCCTTTTTCCTTGAATAATCAACATCCAGTTTGTTTTATGTGAATTATAAAACGCAGTCTAAAATACATGTAATTACATTCCAGTTTTTTGATATGTGAATAATAGAGGGAAAACAATAGATCGATCTCAAAATCTCCAAAATGGAGACGAATACAATCATCTAACACACTAATCTCAATATATTGACAATTATTATATAAAACTTCATAAAAGTTCAAACATTTACTACATGCACGATTCAATTTCTAGTAGTTAAAAAAGAGTACAATACATGTAAATATAACACTATTTAAAATTAGCAAGAGCTTCAAATAACGTACATAGATAATGAAGTGACATGGTTTCTTGCTGAAACCTATCATGTTATACAATATTTAAGCACAGTAAAAACGATATTATAAAATATGTATTTATATTTTTTTTTAAAATATAAAATCTTGATATATAATATTTTAACAAGAAAAACCCCTTGTGCCTTTTGAAAATGCAGAAACTTTTCAGATGAAGAAAAGCACAAAATAATCCCCCATCTCCCTATCTTCTTTTACACCTTGATTATTTAGAAAGCAAACATCGTTTCATTATTCAAAGACTATAAAAATCATTTACATAGTTTCAAAAAGTTTCCAAATTGTTGACCTCCTGATCTTCAAAATCGTTCTTGTCAAAACAGGTTAACAATAAACATTTAAACATTTGCACACATAACTGACCGCCATCTCGTGGCTTACGTTTTACATCTACCAGTAATGGAACATAAACAAGAAATGAAAATAAAATGTATTTTTCTATCAAACAAATAAAGAAGCGTATCGTCACGAGCGCCGTCACGGCTTTCAGTCCGAGGCCTGTGGACCGTGGCGGGTAGTATAAAGGGTCCGGTCACCCTGCGTCCCACGCAGATAACACAGAGGAGACAAAATGAAGATCAACTTTTTACTGGTTCTGTTACTGGGTCTTTTGGCTGTGTCTTACGGATTCCAGGTGAGTAAATTTCTCATTTTATTAAAAAAAAAATTAAAAATAATTGTTTTAATTTGATTGCATATTTTCGTCGAAGATAATGGTATTTTGGTTTTTGTTGTTTTGTTTTGTTTTGTTTTGTTTTTTTAGTTTAACAAATTGATATAATTTTATGTAAGATTTTCATATGGAATCCGGATAGGATCACGTAATTTACAATCGCACTACCGATTATCGAAGTCGCTATGACGATTTCAAAATGATCCGATAAAAATGACACGATGCAACGATTGCGCGATGTCAATGGTGACACGATATTGCAATGACGATGGTGCAATAAAACGACGAAGTCGTAGTGAGTATTGCTTCAACATCACCATCACTGAACAATCGTTCCAAAGTTATCGGGCCACCGCTATCGTACAATTCCGACATCGCCTCATTGTGCCTTTACATCATCGTCATCTTTTTGTTAAATTATCACTTCGTCGTCATGGCATTATCGCGTCCTCGCACTATTGACCCAAACCTCGATGGTGCGACATTATGAAAGTGTGTCCTTTCCGGATTCCACAATATCCCACATCTATATAAAAATATCAAAATAAAGTAACTGTTAATTTTAAACCTATCTAAAATAAAAGTGCAAAAAGAAAAATGGGTAATAAAAATTGAATCTCTAGAGACGTTTTAAATAGGTACAAATATTAATCTTTCAAAAAAAAAAACTCCGATGAGCTATCAACTAATTGGCAAAAGTCTGTAGGCCATCCTAAATGTTTAAACAAATAAAAGAATGGCGAGATAAATGATTGATTTAAAGGAACAGTATATGACTTTTTAGAATTCTAAATACAAGTGGGTACCTGTAAAGTGCGAAACGAAATAGAAACGAAACGAAACGAAACGAACTGAAACGAATTGAAATCTGCCGAAACGAAACGAAATCTACCGAAACGAAACGAAACCTACCGAAACGAAACGAAACCTACCGAAACGAAACGAAATCAAGACGAAACGAAACGAAATCAAAACGAAACCTGTCGAAAGGAAACGAAACAAAAATTTCAGAATGTTTATATGGTCTATTTTTACTTCAAATGAAATATATAGTTCAAGCAACACAGACAATACAAAGGCGTACGCGTAGGAAGGAAATTGAAATAAATGCAAAAAGAGGGGGCTAAACCCCCCTCCCCCGCCCCCCGCTTCCGAAGCCTATGTCATATTTTATTAATATTGAATAAAGGTACAGTTATAAATCGTTTTAGACGTTTTAGAGCCTCTTTATTGCAAATCACTCATTTACGAAAATTACCTCGATAAAAATAGTTAGGTTTTCCTATGTTTTTTCGCAATACAACAGTACAGTTGAACCTTTACATGTAACACATCAATTTTGATTATGTGTTACCTCCTGAAAATAAGAGTAAGATATAAAAATTAGAAAAATATTGAAAAATTATAACGCTCGTGCAATTTGCAGCTGGCAAAAATGTAAATACATCATTAGACTGAGAAGGGAGCATTCTTATCAGTAATTAAATTTTATATTAAAATCAATTTGTATCCCTCATGTGGAAGTAAAAAAAAGTCCACATGCAGTTACACATATATAATTATATACATGTACCTTGATTTGAAAAAAAACAACATAAGCTGAATATTTTACCTCCTTAATCTGGGGAAAAATAAAAAATTTGAAAATCAATTTGTAAAAGCTAATCAATTTGCGGGGGGGGGGGGGGGTCTGAATGGTTTAGTAATACAATACATTACCTCCGACCTTGTGTGTTTTATGCTTGACCATTTTTTTTTTTTTTGATATAAGACATAAAGTCTGAGACTTGCAAAAATGTCTGCCATTAATCCTGAGATCGAGAATCTAAAAAAATAAATAAAAGACACACTATGTCATGGATACCTTCGTAGGACCTGCATGTATTAATTAGGACGGTGCAGAAAGACCGTACTTTGGGATAAAGTTTCTCACCATAGAAAAGCATGTTAAGGTAGAAATGCAAAAATAAGCAAAAGACACACTTCTCGGTTTTTGAGCGTACTAGTATACTGTTCACTTAATTAGCAATATACAGTCTCCATTAGGATTTAAAAAGCGGAGAACAATATCAGAGCTTCAGGCATTATGTTCATCTCGCAAGAATTACATACTTGTATTCCTATGCTTCAGTAATTTTAAACTTGGCAAGTATATATGGGCTACTTAGTGATGAAAGAACCGAATACAATAGAAAACATCGTGTCAATCACGTGGAATCCTTACCTTCTTCAGAGCACAACATTAATCTAGCATTTCATTAAGTATAGGATGACCAACTACTTACAGTGTAGTCCTTACACTTTCTACGTGTATCTCTATTAGTTTTCATCAAATAATTTGAAGATCTTTTTCTCTGGATCATTTTCCATTGATAAACAATTGGTGAAAAGTCATTACATGTAAGAATTAAATAAAAAGGAGCAAAAACTAAAAAAAAAAAAAAAAAAGAAAAGAAAAGAAAACTACATTTTTAACACAGTTAATTTGTTAAAAGTTTGTTCTCGACTACACATGTATGCAAGTCTATAATGCCTCAATAACCTACTTGTATGGAATTTAGTTCGGGGTCGTTATTCATGCAAATGACGTCTAAAGAAGGAAGTGTTTGAACAGAATTCTTTTTTTTTAAAGCTCCGTGGGAGAAATCGCGGGGGCGGCCGTGGGGGCGGAGGGAGAGGAGCAGGGACGACTGAAGCTAATGATTTTGGTACCGATGATGATAATGATGATGATGATGATGATTCCGATGATGACGGGGGTAGAGACGGACGTCGGGGACGTCTCCCTCGTCTCATAGTTGAGGTGATCGCCAGAAGAATTCAACAGCAGCTTCAAGCTTGTGGCGTCCCAGGTAAGAAATACTGAGGATGTGTATAAACAGCATGTAAGGCCACCTTTAAAATTATGTTTGCTCGTCCTCTATTCCGACTCAGGGTAAAATTATTGGGTCGATTGGGTAGGTGGGAAAATCTTTATTCCAGCTGCAGAAAATTTAATCGTATTTGCTGACGGGATATGAGGAATACTATGAAAAAAATATCGTGGAATTTTAAAAAAAGTATTGAGTCTGGGCATTTTAAGTCAATCGGGCAACCATACAACTTTTTAAAGATGGCCTAAACTTACTTAAAAAGAATAAACTATGCAATGCACATTAATCCTTTTATTTCTATGCTATTGAGTTCACATGTAGGCCTATGTAGTTATTGACAATGCTCCAATTGTTGTGTATAACAATGAAGTCTACCCAAAAAAATAAGGTCTTTGTATATTATCCAGCTTTACTAATTTCATTTAGCCTTCTACAGTTTACTCTTAAAACCGACTCTCATGGTGATAAAGTATCAATGATGAATTGGAAAGGAATGTTATCAAACGATAATTGAATTCTTTAATTTTTTTATAGAATTGGACAGCCCTGTAACGACATATAAAGGTAAGGTTTATGACGTCATAAAAATGATAAACATACCAACTTCACTAACATTGAAAAAAATACAGTTCTATATACTTGATTATAAATATATTTAATTCGGAACAAAACAGAACCTAAAAATTGTATAAACATTAAATAATACATGTGCATCCACCTTTTTTATTCCCTCGGGGGTAAGAAAAGGTGGAGTAATTCCTCCATTTCTATTAATGTTTGATCCACTCCTTTACAGATGCCTTCAATGGTCTAGCAATGCTTCTCCTCGCCGACTGTAAGTTAACTCACTTTATTTCATTTTTATGTTCTACTCTTCGTATGCTTAGTTATAGACATACCTATAAAAGTTTCCTCTGCTATAAGGGTTCAATCACGTCTTATCGGATTGCACCTTACGGAAGATCGTAAGCAGACGGTCAGACTTTCACAAAACATTTATTGATTGGTCAATATTTTAGGTGACGGCGGGTACCCGGGATCAACACCCCCAGGGCCTGACCCCTCTTGGGCACCCCCTACAGGCCCAGGACCCTCAGGACCTGCGACAGGACCCACCACCGGTAACCCTCCACCAGCCACCAGCGTGGTCCCCGCCAGAGAGTTTGAAGATAAAGTTGTCAGGGAACTGCTTGCTTACCTGCAAAGGAAGGAGAACTAATACAGACCTCGACTAATGTCAGAAACTGGATAAAATATAAAGTTTTATTTGAAATCCATTTTTTCCTTATAGATTGCAGTTGTTTTTAAAAATAAATTTTCAAAGATTATTTAAAAAATTGTTATTTACTTAAATGGCAGAATTTCCATCCGGAATACATGAATTTTTTGGTCCTATACAACTAAGTAACGGACAGCTGTTACATTGTAATGTTAAGTTTCATTTGTCTTCGTAATATCTCAAAAGCAAGCTATGAAAACCCATACTTTGTCTCCAAATACACTTTCATATTTAGCTGCTATTGGGTAAAAAAAAAACACAATAATTCTAGGCTTTACAAAAAAAAATCAGTTTTCGATCCTCAAATCGCCTCCAGGGCGAAAATGAAATACCGAAACCTAAAGCATACCTCCAGAATACATCTCCGAACACATTTCAGACCTTCCAAAATATGATCATGATATATTTTGGAAAAAAAAATCTGAATCCTTAATTTACACATAGAGGACGTCATATTCGCAAACTAAGATGACTTTGTTAACAAAATATAAAAGGAATTAAGTTTTATGTTGAAAAATGTTGTTTTGACCCAAACGTTGTCCCCAGTGTGAAAATGGAAATTCCGAAACCTTTTTGCACATTTACAGGACAATGCCATTCATATTTAAAAAAACGAATTTGAAATTAAAAAAAAAAATTAAACATCAGGAAACTTTGTATTTTTAAGGAAAAACTTTTTATATATCTCCTATCGCCTCTCCCTCCAATCATATTCATGAAGATGAGTTGGTTGTTGCAAAATTGCTCGAAGAGTTCTTCAGTGAATCAGGTTTTTGTAAATGTCAATTTTATTGGAAGGATTTCTTCATATTATTAGGGTTTACCCCTTTCCCCGCAGTCACGCATTTTAACGCATATACCATTTCCTATTTCTACCGCAAAATCACGCACATACCAATTCCCTGCAATCACGAATTTTCACGCACTTTAAAAATGTCATTTGATCTTCAATTCATTGCCCAATTTCTTATAATTTATGCTTGCTTAAATTTCATAAAATAAGGAAAGTTATTTTCTTATTTAAAAAATATTACGTCATAATATTATTTACGCTAAACTGTAGTGTAGAGAAACTTGTACCACGCTATAAAGTGCATGCGGGAAAACGGTAACGTCATCTTTCTATGACGTGAACATTAAGTGTATAATTGCATATCAGTGTATTCCCTTGTTTGAAAAGAAACTAAGCCAGGTCTCTGGATATTACCAGGAAAATCTTATCATGAAATCGTTTACTTTATTTAAACAATATCCAGATTTAGGCCTTTGGCTATATCAGAAGCCAAAGGATTCAGGAATTTCGATATAGTGTAACCAAATGTGAACACAAAATCTGAAAACAAGATTTACACAAAATAATATTGCTGTATAAGTCGTTTGATTTGATGTTTTACTCCGATCTAGATCTACTCTCTAATATCATCACGTAAGATATGTTGAGATAACTAACAGTATTAAATCTCAAAAGTTCATAATAAAACATTACAAAATAGGAGCGGAGCAAACACGGGCCTCCAAAACTTCAGAGGTGGGATCAGATGTCATGGAGGAATGAGCATCTAATGCCGACAAGTCATACCCGCTGTGTGCTCCTTTTCTAGCTGTAGATCTGTAGCGTTATGGTTTTATATATTTGTCTTTGACCATAACGCTACAGATCCCGTAGTGCAAAAAAGGTGCAATTTACGGCGCAATATTTTTTGCGCTCTTTTGGGGAGAATTTCTACACTTTCTAGCATTGGTCAATCAACTACCTTTCACTCCCTAATTCTAGACACATTCTTAGCCAATATGTATAGTTTATCCACCTCCCAACCATTATAGTTGTCTCTACAGGCAATAAACTCGCTGGATATGAATTTTCAGTAATCTAACAAATAATTTTAATCGAGCGAGTTTATTACTTGTAGAGACGACTATAAAGTGTTGGGAGATGGATAAAATATACAGATTAATTAAATAATGTGTCTAGAATTAATTCAAAGACAAATATATAAAACCATAACGCTAAGATCTGCAGCTACTCCTTTTCGTGATTGGGAAATAACGGAAAGATCCGATGACAACTCAGTATGTAATAATGGCCTAACGATCGGTATGAAAAACATCAGTCAGCATTCAACTTAATCATAAATTATATTTGTTGACAAGCTTCAGTCACTTTATCGACCACAGAACTTGCGAAATGATGACTTACAGGGGCGTAGCCAGGGTACTTTTGATGTGGACGCCTGAATAGGCGGGGGTTTGGCGGCCGCCTTAAGGCCCCCAATGGTTCCTGGGCGAAGCCCTGGTGGGGGCTCAGAGGACGAAGCCCCAGGAATCTGACTCTTTTTTTGCCCTTCTGATAGCATTTTTCTTACACTTTTTCAGTTTGTTACGCACCACATCTGAGGCCTATTTCTTTCCTTGTACTGTACAAAATGCGGACAGACACTCAAAAATGAGAAAGGATACTTCCAATAGCGTTGTTTGATGAACCCACTTGAAAACAATTTTAGACTTTTGAAGCTCGACAAAATACGTATGGTAACATATGGTAGTTGGTTAGAGTGGTTGACTGGTTTAGACAGACAACGTTATTGACTGATAGTCAGGCTTACATTAATGTTAAAAATACACCTCTAAAGATTGAAAATAACAAAGACAGAAGAATTCTTTTCAACTCATTTTCTTGCACATATTACCTACGTACATTGTATACATTTTAAAATGAATGTTCATAAATATTCACAAAGGGGGTAATTTTTTGCAACAATTATAAAAACATGTAAAATATACTATTGGTATTAAGATAGTCTTACGGAAGTCAATACTTGAACAGGCCTTATTTTTTTCAAGGTTAAACTAAAATTTACCAATTGTCGATTTTTGATGTTCATGCTGTATATAAAGCTGAATTATGATTTTCATTCTCGCATCAATCCGATGATTAAGTTTAAATTTTGGGGGAATATCGTTACAGAAGTTAAGAATTACGGTTGGAACTTAATTTCCAGTAATAGAAATTGAAATTCTTGGCATTAAATAAAATTATCGTTCGTTTTAAGGGAGCCGACTGGGGTTTTATTGTGTGAAATATACAATAGAGAAACTCTTTCAGAATGTAATTACACTTGGAAAAACCTCAGCAATATTCGATAGTAACCAAAATACGGGAAAATCTTTTGATTTCAGTGAGGTGTAAACCATCGTTTTTCTCCTAAAACTGATTCTGTTGGTTTTCATATATTTTTTCATCGTTAAGTCTAAATAGTTTCTGAGTATTTTTAAAAATTATTAACTAATATTTTGCCAAAATAGTGAGTACGATTTAGAATAATCTCTTTCTCTCTTTATATTCTTCCTTTCTTTTTTTTGAAAATGATGTGGATTTGTGCGTACAAACGTACGCCTGGCTACGCGCCTGACTTAAATGAAACGAAGATATATAAACTCGATCCGTATGCAGGTGACAAAGATATTGCTGCATAAGTAAGGGAAGTTGATGATTGTAAAGTTAACATAAAGTTTTGCTACCATTGACGCCTTTTTCTAGTAAAAGATCCAAATACTAGTCTTTTCCATTTCTATAAATGAATGATCACATACTTTTGTTAGCCTGCCCTGGATGGGGCAGAATGGGGTTTGGTTTATTTAGTTACTTTTTAAAAAAAGTTTTAACCCCTCACTCCCTCCGACAGCGATCATAAAATACCTAAAGGTCAAAGAGATTTTTAAAAAATCAGCGCCTAAAACTCCTCATTTAAAAACTATTTCAAGGGAAAGATTCCTATCTCTTTTTGTAAAACTAATTTATAGGCAATTTTTCAAGGATACACAAAACAAAAATTTTATGTTGATTTCGAATGGAAACGAAAAAAGACAGGAAAGGAACCTACGAGTCTTTTATGAATTAAAAACTATTTTGAGCAGCAAAAGATGTTCTTTGGAGAGAAATTAATTGCAAGGAACATTCAATGAAGATTATCAGCGCATCGAAGTCCTGGGGCCCGTTGTACAAAAGAACTTACGACTAACACCATAACCTTCAAATAATTGTAACATTTTGCAATATTGATAATTTTCTTTGAAATTGTTTGTGTAAAAAAAATCTTACCACATTCCTTTTAAAAAGTTTAAAATAATTTTCGATAAAATGCTAATTAAAAACTTAGATGAAGAATTAAATTTGGTCTTAAGTCGTAAGCCCTTTTGTAAAACGGGCCCCTGAATATGAATCAACAAATCTTTCCATGCATATTCAGATATTTGAAATTCACTAGTATGTTTACAAATTGTCAATTTTTATTTTAAATTAAGCATCGAAAATTTTTAATTTATAAATGACACAGTTTCCACTACATGGTTGAATTTACTTATAGAGATCACGTCGTTGAGTCAGAGGGATTCTGTATTTAACTTTTATTGATACTGAATAGATCACTCCATTTTTGTCTTATAAATCCTACCCGAATAGGCAGGTAACCAAGATTACGCATTGAAATTAAAAATGCTTAGACTTTTTATTTTAAAACTGATGGATAAATGACATTTTATGGGGAAAAACACCTTAATTTCCATATTTAATATTAAAAAAATTATCTATCTCTGATCAGAGTGTAGTTTCCATTTTAATAGGTTTCACTCTCAGACTTTTACAAGATATTTAACTATTGATCGGTATGACCATTTGACCCTCAATGTCTGAAAGGTTTTAAAAGAGTAAATTGGTTTACAAAAATAAATAATGGTAAACATTTCAAAGGATACCTGACGAATTGCTTTCACATGATTGCATTCAAATAAAAAGGAATAAAGTAACTTTGATTATAAGATCTATCTCTGATTTACATGTGAACACAACACAGTAGAAGCATAGACCGTGTCTAGTAGAGTGATATGATCGATATATCTTTTCGGTATGTCTTGGCGAACAATAATTGATATGAAAATAATCAATATTTCTTTCATAGCTTAAAGACGGATGAGACGTTCCTCAATAATTAACAACTGTCGATGGATTTTCCAGTATTTCCCGACCATGACAAGGAGTGCATGGCGGGTGTGACCGGTTAGCAGGGAATGTTCGCTCATCCATGGCACCTGACCTCCAAAACATCAGAGGTGGGATCAGGTGCCATGCATGGAGGAGTGAGTATCCCCTACCGACCGGTCACATCCACCGTGTGCTCCTTGTCGTGATCGGGAAATACCGGGAAAATCCGTCGACAATTCAGTGTGTAAATAATGGCCTAACAGTATGAAAAACGCCAGTCAGCATTTAACTCAATGGTAAATTGTATTTGCGTACAAGGTCATAGAACTTATGTAATGGTGACTTTATACGAGACTACTGATATTCTTGCTTCATCAACTTGTTTGTCAATAATCTAACTCGTTTTAGAAATTGTACGTAGGTAGAGCATGCTCTTGGGTATCAGATCAGCTGAGATATATAAACTCCATACACAGGTACATTGTAGATTACTGCATAAGTAAGGTAAGTTGATGATTGAAGAGTTCAAGTGCATCACGTTTATCGATAGAGCTTGGTTGTTGGATTACCATTGACATCTTTTACAAGTATATTACCCAAATATGTAAAACAAATGTGTCGGACTTTGTGGTACCTTTTATAAAAGTTGATCTCATAATTTATGAGGCAATTTTTCAAGGATACACAAAACAAAAATTTTATGCGTGGATTGATATAATAATATTTTTGTCTGATTTCGAATGGAAATGACATAAAAAAAAATCATCGCTAAAATAAATCATACTTTTTCTTTATGCTTAGATATGTGACTTTGTATAATTTTCATGTAAGTCTACACATTTTTTTTTTTACATATTTTTGTTACTTTGACAAAATCTTACGTAAATTATCACACTTTACTTAAATTTAACCGCCAATTAATTTCTCGCTAAACCTAGATACTATATCTTGTATTTTATGTCCAGTTGCACTCTGCTTTATCTGTCCAAATTTTTTCAAGCAGAGAGCTACAGTTCTGCAGCTAGAAAAATAGGCAATTGACATAATTATTTGAAATTGAAATTCAACAAAAGAAGCATAGGTGTGCAATATGCAATATGTGGTTCTTTCGTTCTTATCAGTGGAATTTTTTGTCATCTGAGTAAATGTCATCCTTAAAATTGCAAGAAGTGAGCTGCTGCAAATCTTGTCTTTTCACTGTCATTTTCAACATTTCAGGAATTTGCAAGAAATCTAAGTCTCGATCAATAGGCCACTAGCTGGAAAAGTACATTATTGATTTACCATTATCAAGTGAAAAGATTTCACAGTCATAGACATTTTTCCTACCTTTTAAAAACAGAAAATCACAAAAGCTGGTCCTGGTTTATATCCTTTTTATTGGCAGTGTTGAAAGGACCTCTTATGTACTGAATAAATGAGGCATACAAAATGTCTTCAAGCAAAATCATGACTTTACATAAATATATAAATAATATATATACAAAGTTAAGAGGTTATTGAATATATAAATTATATAATACATACATAAACAATGTCCCCTATATAAGATTTCTCTTATGTAAAGATAGTTTGTAGCCCCCCCCCCCCCCCCCCCCCCCCTAAGTCAAAGTATCAATTATAAAGAAAGAATGATATGGAAAAGAATTTATAATGAGGATTTCACATATGGAATGTTAAAATACACACTTCTAAAGGACATATTAAATACATGTAAACTGTAAATGAAATATGCACAACAGTATTAAAAAAAACAAGTAAGTTTTAGGCACACAAAAATTTTTTAAAGCAAGCACAATTTAGCATTGGATTTTACTTATGACATGTAATACGCCAGTAAAAAAAGCTATTTAAATTACAAAAAAAATATCATTTCCAGGTACAGGATTCATAAACTAACCCAAACTAAAATATACATCTGACAAAAATACCACGTTCATTCAAATACAGTCTTACAGAACACACATGATTTTTTTTTAAATCAGTCAAAACATGATATTATGTCAAGGTTAATTTCAGCAAAGCTCCATTTTGGTTACTATCACCCCATAAAGAGAGCAAGTTTTGAAAACTTGTCACAGATGTTCAAATGCCTCTATAAATGTTTGTAAGACGAGATATACAGGTAATTACATGGGAGGTTTAGGTAGATACTAAAACAGGTGCTTTCTAAAAACTGCCAATTTCAACACAAAGCAAAGCAAAGTAAAATCAGAGATTACATATACATGTATGATAATTACATTGTATGTATAATAATATCTTGTTAAGCATATCCCCAATGTTTTTTCCCTCTGTGAGTAATAATTCAGCATTCAATATAGCAATACTTTGGTGTCCCTTATCTGTCAGCATGATGAACTGCATCACACATGATAATTTACAAAATAAAATATATTTAACAATCACTCAGATTGCAAGTTCATATACACAAACAATTGCATAGTCATGGTATTCCTTAAAACTGAAAAGGTATACAGAGTAACCACTACCATTTACTGTCTTTTTTATTGCTTTGAGCAAAACTAGATACATTTCATAAAGAACCTTACAATGAGAATTAGAATCTATCTACATTTTTTTTAATTACCCTTTTAGATTGTTTACTTTGATTGTCCATTTGTGTAAACAAAATATATTCCCTCCAATGAAAGTTCAATCAATCTTTCGATGATGAAATGAAATAAATAATTTAAAAAAATCACGAACTATCAGACTGTATTTGTAAACATGACTGTTTGGATATGGTGCCTTTTGAGTGATGGGGTCTACATGATGATCTGGGGTTCAGGAACCGAGTCACTGATTGATTTATGGGGGAGGATCCGCCCTCCATTGATGTAAAGTTCGTCCTTAACAGTCACGTCCTCTCCTAACACTGAGACGTTCTCCATCCGCACCTACAACACAATTACCAATATCAATTCAATTGTGTTTCGATTCAAAGGTCAAAATTTGATACTACACGTAGAAATCTTGCAAAATTGAACAAGAGGCCCATGGGCCACATCGCTCACCTGAGCACCAAGGGTAGGACTAGTATAAAATGGCTTTTTATTGTAAAGTTTAAATCCAAAAGTAGTCCCATGACCAATCATGGATTTGCTATTTTTTAGAAAATGATTGAGAAGAAGATTTTTAAAGAATTTTCCTATATATTTCTATGTAAAACTTTGGTTGGCCATTTTGGCCCCGCCCTACCCCCAGGGGTCATGATTTGAACAAACTTGAATCTACACTACCTGAACATGCTTCCATATAAATATGATGAATAATATATATCATTCTGAGAGAGAGAAGAGAGAAGAGAGAGAGATATATCTCTATGTAAAACCTTGGTCGGCCATTTTGGCCCCGCCCTACCCCCGGGGGTCATGATTTGAACAAACTTGAATCTACACTACCTGAGCATGCTTCCATATAAATATGATGAATTATGGCTTTGTCATTCTTGAGAAGAAGATTTTTAAAGAATTTTCCTATATATTTCTATGTAAAACATTGGTCGGCCATTTTGGCCCCGCCCTTACCCGGGGGGTCATGATTTGAACAAACTTGAATCTACACTACATGAGCATGCTCCATTATAAATATGATGAATTATGGCTTTGTCATTCTTGAGAAGAAGATTTTTGAAGAATTTTCCTATATATCTCTATGTAAAACCTTGGTCGGCCATTTTGGCCCCGCCCTACCCCCGGGGGTCATGATTTGAACAAACTTGAATCTACACTACCTGAGCATGCTTTCATATAAATATGATGAATTATGGCTTTGTCATTCTTGAGAAGAAGATTTTTGAAGAATTTTCCTATATATCTCTATGTAAAACCTTGGTCGGCCATTTTGGCCCGCCCTACCCCCGGGGGTCATGATTTGAACAAACTTGAATCTACACTACCTGAGCATGCTTCCATATAAATATGATGAATTATGGCTTTGTCATTCTTGAGAAGAAGATTTTTAAAGAATTTTCCTATATATTTCTATGTAAAACATTGGTCGGCCATTTTGGCCCCGCCCTTACCCGGGGGGTCATGATTTGAACAAACTTGAATCTACACTACATGAGCATGCTCCATTATAAATATGATGAATTATGGCTTTGTCATTCTTGAGAAGAAGATTTTTGAAGAATTTTCCTATATATCTCTATGTAAAACCTTGGTCGGCCATTTTGGCCCCGCCCTACCCCCGGGGGTCATGATTTGAACAAACTTGAATCTACACTACCTGAGCATGCTTCCATATAAATATGATGAATTATGGCTTTGTCATTCTTGAGAAGAAGATTTTTAAAGAATTTTCCTATATATTTCTATGTAAAACATTGGTCGGCCATTTTGGCCCCGCCCTTACCCCGGGGGTCATGATTTGAACAAACTTGAATCTACACTACATGAGCATGCTCCAATATAAATATGATGAATTATGGCTTTGTCATTCTTGAGAAGAAGATTTTTAAAGAATTTTCCTATATATTTCTATGTAAAACTTTGGTCGGCCATTTTGGCCCCGCCCTACCCCCGGGGTCATGACGTGAACAAACTTGAATCTACACTACAAAAGGATGTTTCCCCATAAGTTTCATCTTTCCTGGCACAGTGGTTCTTGAGAAGAAGATTTTTAAAATATACCACTAAATTTTCATTAATTCCCAATTATCTCCCCTTGAATAAGGATGTGGCCCTTCATTTGAACAAACTTGAATCCCCTTCACCCAAGGATACTTTGTGGTAAGTTTGGTTGAAATTGGCCCAGCGGTTCTTGAGAAGAAGTCGAAAATGTGAAAAGTTTACAGACAGACAGACGGACGGACGGACGCCGGACAAAATGTGATCAGAAAAGCTCACTTGAGCCTTCGGCTCAGGTGAGCTAATTACGGTACAATGTATGAAAATCATTCTGCACCTATAAATGAACAGTTTTAACCGGTTCAATCATGGTTTGATTTGAAGGATAAAAAATTGACACAATAGTGTAGAATAATTTCAAAATGAATGAAAGAAAAAGATAGCAAGTTCCCCCTAACACTCAAGTGCCGAAAATCCACAAAAAAAACATATTGTGTCCTAAATGTCTGCAAAATTTGACAAAATTCTGTGCAGTGGTTTATGAGGAGTTGCGCTGACAACTGTTCATCTCTATATTCAAGACATGGCAAAAATCTAAGTTGAAAAGAGCCCAAAGTTGGAGAAAAATAAAGGAATCAGAATTTCCTGGTAATATGCACATCTACACACTTTGTACTAAATATCTGCAAAGTTTGACCAATTTCTGTGCAGCAGTTAAAGAGGAGTTACGCTGCCAAACTGTTTATCTCTTTATTCAATATATGGCCAAAAATCTAAGCTGAAAAGTGCAGAAATTCCCAGAAACAATAAAGGAATCGGAATTTAATGGTAATATGCACATCTACACATTGTGTCCTAAATATCTGCAAAGTTTGAATGAATTCTGTGCAGCAGTTTACGAGGAGTTGCGCTGAAAAACTGTTCATTTCTATATTCAAGATATAGCCAAAAATCTAATTTGAAAAGTGCCGAAATTCCCAGAAAAATCAAGAAATCAGAATTTCCTGGTTAAATGCACACCTACACATTGTGTCCTAAATATCTGCCAAGTCTGACCAAATTCTGTGCAGCGATTTATTAGGAGTTGCGCTGACAAACTGTTCATCTCTATATTTAAGGTATGGCCAAAAAACTAATTTGAAAAGCAGTTTATGAGGAGCTGCGCTGACCAAAAAATAGGACTGACGGACTGACTGACTGATGGATGGGTCAAAACATTATACCTCCAGCAAGTTGTTGTGTGGGATATAACAAGAGGCCCAGGGGCCACAGCGCTCACCTGAGCACATCAGCTAGGAAAAAACACATATCAGATCAGAACTGAAAGTTAACTTAAGTTGGGGGGAGGGCTTGAATTTTAACCCCCAAGGGGATCATAATTTGAATGAACTAGAATCTACATTACCTGAGGATGACTCCATACAAATATAACTAATCCTGGCTTTGAAGTACTTGAAAAGAAGATTTAAAAAGGTTTCCCTATATATTTCTATGTAAAACTTTGGTCGGCCATTTTGGCCATGCCCTACCCCCAGGGGCCATGACTTGAACAAATTTATTTCTACATTACCTGAGGATGATTCCACATGAGTTTCATCTTTCCTGGCCCAGTGGTTCTTGAGAAGATTTTTAAAGATTTTTCCTATATATTCCTATGCAAAACTTTGATCGGCCATTTTGGCCCCGCCCTACCCCGGGGGTCATGACTTGAACAAATTTATATCTACATTACCTGAGGATGATTCCAAATGAATTTCATCCTTCCTGGCCCAGTGGTTCTTGAAAAGAAGATTTTTAAAGATTTTTCCTATATATTCCTATGCAAAACTTTGATCGGCCATTTTGGCCCCACCCTACCCCCGGGGGTCATGACTTGAACAAATTTATATCTACATTACCTGAGGATGATTCCACATGAGTTTCATCTTTCCTGGCCCAGTGGTTCTTGAGAAGAAGATTTTTAACGATTTTTCCTATATATTCCTATGTAAAACTTTGATCGGCCATTTTGGCCCCGCCCTACCCCCGGGGGTCATGACTTGAACAAACTTGAATCTACACTACCTGAGGATGATTCCACATGAGTTTCATCTTTCCTGTTCCAGTGGTTCTTGAGAAGAAGATTTTTTAAAAATGCCAATAATTTTTCTCTAATTCATGATTATCTCCCCTTGGAAAAGGGCGTGGCCCTTCATTTGAACAAACTTGAATCCCCTTCACCCAAGGATACTTTGTGCCAAGTTTGGTTGAAATTGGCCCAGTGGTTCTTCTAGGAGAAGATGAAAATGTGAAAAGTTTACGACAACGACGACAACGACAACGACAACAGACAACGGACAAATTTTGATCAGAAAAGCTCACTTGAGTCTTCGGCTCAGGTAAGCTAATAATAATAATAATAACAATTATTTATGGAAAACACAAGAACAAGAAGTTTATGGACCTTACTGGTCAACAGCTCAGTAGGATCTCATTTTTTCAGCTTTTAGTTGGTGAAAATATTTCAAGCATCATATTACATTCACAACCTGGGCAAAATTAATGCATAATGTACAACTTGAGCCAAGAGTAAGACAACTGCCTTACCCATCTCCCCACGACACATCTCCAACCAATAATACAGGACTCCAGCCATGAGTGAGACCGGACTCGGGCCCCCTTCAGTATCGTACATCTCTTTATACATGCTCCGTCCTCGATTACCACGTCTGGACCAATTGTCACATTTGGTCCTATCCTACAATTTCTTCCTATTTTGGCACTGGGATCCTTCAATTAAGAATCACAAAGTGAATATTTTTAATGTCAATTTTCAATAGAACAGTAACATCAATTTCTTTAAACAGACACAAGACTACATGAGAAAGTTACAAGAAACCAAAATACTTCCATGCAAAATTAGATATGTATATAATTTTTAGGGATGTCAAAATATTTATTTTCCTTAGTCGAACATTTGATTGCATTATTCGAATGATAGTCGACTATTCGGAACTTTCATCGATAGCCTATTTATGAATCAAAAACCATTTTCCTACATTTATGTAAAAAGTAACATCAAATGCCTAAACAGCGAATTTACACATGGATATTCAGAGGAATTTAAAATAGGAATAAGATGTTGAAATGAAATAGATTTACACCAGCAATTTATTTTCCAAAATGTATTCATGAATTCTCGTAAATCATGTATTCATAAATTGGTCTGTGGATTCTTTCCTTCTTGTTCCCTTAGAGAATTGTTAGCACGGTGTTTTTAAAGCTTATTAAAAATAAATTGGAAAAGGGGAGGGGTAAACAAACACTACTCACACGTCAGGGATATTGTAAAATATTGCTTGTTCAATTATCGATTAGCACAATCAATATGTCCTTACTATGTAGGATTACTGTTTTAATAATTATCAAAGTTTCAAAACTTAGCTGGTGTGTCCCTACAGCATTTGAACATTCTTAGAGGTAATAAATTTTATAATTGGTACAAGTCCAATTAATAATTTTCAAAGTCCAGTATAGCGCTGCATAATTTACTACAATAACAAAAAAGGTCGGTAATTGAGTAATAATTATCGCGGTATGTAATTACTCTACTGTCAATATGTACATTGTACAATGTGGAAAATTATTTATATACTGTAACTATGTTTTAGCTCTTATTCGTCTAAGGGCGGAAACTATAACGGTTTGAGGAATGATGCTTTATCAATTTTGAGTTCAGAATTTCTTTATCACCTCCTTTTTCTTAATTTTTTAAATATTCGAATATCGTTTCATCATTCCATAGTCGGCCCATTCGACTGATAGTCGAATAGTCGACTATTCGTTGACATCCCTAATAATTTTTCACCATGAAAATCTTGTACATAAAATTGTAAATCTATCAGAAATTTTTTATCCTACTGGTGTATGACTTATTATTGAACACTAACATACCACTAGGACATTTCCCACAATGCCGTCCTCAGTGTGTAGTAGGTCTGGTGACTTCTCTCGTAGTGAACTGAGATACAAACACATTCCCGTCAGGAAATCTTTTGGCTGTCCTACATCCATCCAGAAACCTACACAAATCCATCACAAAAAAGTCTGATAAAAACATATTATTCTCACTTTTAGCAATAGATTTTGACTAGTTGTTTTGGGCTTTATGTTGAGTACATGTATACAGTAAAACTCGTTTAGTATGAACATGGATATTGCAAATTCACGGATATAGTGAAGTTATTTTGGATCCCCAGCTATATAAATATAACAAATTCCTTACACAGATATAGATACGGATATGGATATAGCGAAGTAATTTCGAAGGTCCTGGTGACTTTATTATATTAACCTAGTTTTACTGTATGACTCAGTCATATTTTTCCAAATTTTATTGTATTTAATCATCAATTCGGTAGGGCTATTACAATATTACAGAATCAAGTCTCTATTTTACTGTGTAAGAAATACTAAAAATCACCTTGTAACTCCATAGCATACAGATCACCATCATTTGCCATAAAAGGGAATACTTCTTTTTCTATAGATGTGGGTTTTAACTGAAACAAAATCACAAAACCAATAGAAGAGTCAAATATAATATAATCACAAATTTACTTCACATGTTCAATTAACAATTTCTTTTAAAAGATAGAATCATAAATTATGCATTTATTAAATTTTGAAAATTCACACTTTAAGATGTGTAAATATTCAAGTAGAAAAATGCCATTTCTTAAAGTTGAGGTATTAAACTTTTCCAAAGGAATAGATTGTGCAGTTGTCTTAAATGTAATTAATCAATACCGTTTCTCCATAATGTTATAATACGTACCTGGATTCTATCTAATACTGAGGGACTGAGGATGTACATTCCTGCATTGATTTTGTTGGAGACGTACTCCTGTGGTTTCTCTACAAATCTTTGGATCCTCCCATTCTCTGCATCGTATACCACCACTCCATACTTAGAGGGCTCCTCTACTTTAGTCACCTTATAAAACATCAAATCATAGATGGTTTTAAAAATAAAGACAGATAACTCTACATTTAGTATACAGTCAAATCCTTTCTGATTATTGTGGCTAGACTACATAAAGAAAAAAAGTTGGATCGACTATTAACTCATTCTGACATATATCCACGGTATTCAAGAAATCAAACTTCTACAGTTCAGAACTTCATTTTTTTATGCAAATTAAAATTGAAATAAGTGTCTATGTTTATGTGTATGAGTCAGTAAACACATAAGAGAGTATGATCCCATAAAAGATAAAATAATTAAATAGGTATGACTGTATATAACTTTGTGCCGCAGGAGAATTATAAATTCTTTCAATGAATAAAATATTCTTCTAAAAATCATATATAAGTAAGCTAGTGTAAAGAAAACTAATCAACAATAATACCCTACCACAATGGTACCCTGGCGTCCGTGATGTTTGTGAAACTGAACCATTTGTTTGAATGGGAAATCACAGATAATGTCACTATTCAACACAAAGAATGGCTCATGGTCTTGTGTTAGGAGATCTTTGGCCAGGGCAAGTGGACCCGCTAAAATGACAAAAAATACATCTGCGTGTAGTGTAATTTACTTGCATTAAAAATAAAAATAAAAAAAATAAAGATTTGTTAGAGTGTGAAAAATTATAGAAACTTTCAAGTTACAGCAAATCTATTTCCAAAACAAACACATACCTGTTCCAAGAGGTTCCGATTCCAGGGAAATACTGATCTTTACTCCTAGCTATCAACAGAATCAAACAAGCATTAAATCTTAATTCCCCATGGGGAAATGTAACATGTATGAATTAATTCTTTGACTTTGTCGACAAGTATAGATTAAGACAAGGGAACAAAACACTGAATCATGTACATTTTAAATCTGTGTTCACATCTATAAGGGGTAATTCATGCATTTGATCTTCTCAATTCAGTCAAAAGTACAAGAAAATAAAAATATCTCATTCCCTTGAAATTTCTACTTCAAAAATTATCAGATAATTAAACATCAAACCTTGGTCTCTACATTCCGGAGTTCCTGCTCCATCTGCTCAGCTCTGTAGCTAACAGCCAAAATAATGTGCTTCACTCCAGCCTAAAAATTTACACTTCTTTTAACAATAAAGGATACGTGTCACTTTCATCAGAATTATTTTTGGACAGTTGATGTAAAATCACTCTTAAAAACTTTTGAAATGTTTTGATTTTATAATTTAAAATTTTAACTATTTTATCAAAGCAATAAAAATAATATCTTCAAATACACTTTGCCCAAATTTTAACATTAGGAAACCCAATATTTTTAAAATAGTATGATCATTTAAAAAAAAAAAAATCTTGCTCATTTAATGGTAATTACAAAATTATTACAATGGTACATGTACATGTATAGGCAATGAAAATTTTATGAAATTTTATACCCAATTAATATCTAAACAATGGTATATATGCATCTTGATTCATAGTTAACAATGGTATTCTCAATAATCTATCACTACTACATAATTCAATTGAACTCAATTATCTATATCTTATTGTTTTACCTCTACTAGAGCTTCCAGTTGATGAAGTAACATTGGCTTGTTCCCAAACTCTACCAGTGGTTTGGCGACACTGAGGGTCAAAGGTCGTAACCTTGTTCCATATCCTCCTACTAGAATGAGTGCCTTCATGATGGATGGTTACACTACAAGTGTTCAGCTAATATTAATGTCACTTTTTTAAAAAGATTTGATTCCTTTATACATGTATTACTAAGTAAAAATTTTGATCCCCTATTATGACCACTCTTTCCGAGGGGTCAATATATAAAAAAAAATATCTTAAAAACCTATGTAGTGAATCTAAAACGAAAAAATCATCTTTTCTGATCCAGTAATTCTTAAGAAGATTTTCCGAGATGTCATTCAATTTTCAAAGAGGATGTGGCCCTTTATTTTGATTGAGCTTGTGTCCTTTTAGCTACTTATGATTTGTGGTAAGTTCTGTTAAAATTGGCGATATGACTTGAGATGAAGTCAAAAATATCAAAAGTGTACAGTTGAATGGATCCTAGACATTAGTATTGAGGGGGGACTCAAATATAAAGTAGGTTTTTTTAATCTCTGATAAGTGAGATACATGTAACTACAGAGTTCTTGAAATCTTTCGGTCCTGTCGGCAAAACCGATAAAAAACAACCAAGGACCAATTACTTTGCGTTCTGTGTCAGTCCAAATTATCGGTAAGTGTTAAGAGAGGAACTTGTGAAAATCCTACTAAATTTCATACAAATTCCCTATAAACAACTGATCATAATCTTTAAAACACTTTTCTGTATCTTGTAACGGCTTCTTTGATAAATGCAAGTGCCAAACTATGATTGGTAAATTGTTAGAACAAGTTTGAACTTTGGTTGTTGATGGCTTTAAGGTATTAAAGCCAGGTGAGAAAAATCAAACTAGATTAAAAACTTATGAAGAAAATTGACCCCCCACAAAGTTTCAAAGAAAACTGTTATACAACGACCAAATCGGCATGAACTGTGTTTAATGATGCTGGGTGCACATTGTATTGATAATAAAATTCATGTACAGTTTTCATCTTTTTATAGATTTTTTCTGATAGAAATCTGTCTGGACTGACAAACTTCATAAGATTTCAAGAACTTTATGTCTATTTATGATCATGACAAGGAACACACTGCGAGTGTGACCAGTTGGCAGGGGATGTTTACTCCTCCATGGCACCTGATCCCACCTCTGATGTTTTAGAGGTCTATGTTTGCTCTACTCCTATTTTGTGTTTTATGGACTCCTGAGCTTGCATATTGTTCGTTATCTTCATTTATTTCATTTTACCAATTGACAAGTTGAACATGTCTTTTTTGTTTAAGGTATGCTACAGTTGTTTGTATTCTACTTAAAGCAACATTTTATATGAGTGAGTAAAGGATTCATGTCAAGCATGAATCTTAAGGTAGGATTCTTCTCTGGTTTCTGACTAGATGAAACATTCAAAGTATATTTGCTTATATGTCTTATATATTGAGGTGTAAATAATTTAAAAGACCATATTTTTCTTTCCTCATCATAATTGTACAACTTTAAATAGAAATTGTAAATTGCGTTTGAAAACTAGCAGGGACTATATTTTTGGCGGAATGGTGGCGTATGAAAATATCTTCTTTTCTGCCTCTCAAAATTATAACAGAACAATGAATTTAGTTATAATTTTTACACAATCGAAGACTTGGAGAAATTTTCAAATGTAAGTTAGATAAATAATGAGGGACTAAGCTTTCAAAATATATCAAATAAATATGATTTTTCAAACAAACTAGAACTTTATTCGCTTTTAAACGCTTCCTAACAAAGTGCAGATTTGAGCCAAAAATCCATAAAAAGTATTTTTTCTCTCTCAGTAAACCATCAAAACTTTTTGTTTTTGTATCATTTTGTACATTTATAAGACAACTTTATTATATGTGAAAATAAGAAAAAGTTTAATATAGAAAGCATATGAAAATAACTAATATATCCTAAAACTTAAGAAAAACAGAAAAAATTCGGACTAGCCAATATCCAGTTAAGTTGAATTATTTATGTAAATTTGGTAACATCATGCTATAGATCCGATATAGCAATATGTTTTTATGCAAAAAGAACAATCATTAAACTTTTTAAATAGAAGTAGGTATCACATGATTGGCAACAGTTATTTTTTATTCTTAATGTCAAGGAAAAAGATAATGACCTTGATCTGACCCTGTCTCTAATATAAAACGGTCAAACTTAATCTTACTGATACTATCACTTACTGATATTGTCTTCTTGATTCTGTGAAAATTTCATAAACTTTTAAATACAAGAAATATGAGAAGAATCCTACCTTAAGCTGCATAGGTATTTAATAATAATAAAAAAAATAATAAATGAAGTCAAATTCACATTGAAAATACATATACTAGAGGTAAATACTAAAGCCTCGTGCTGCACCAGAGTCAATTCATACCAAGATTCAAAGCCCAAACGGAAACGTTTGTCATACCAGTATCGTCTCGTATCCTGTTTGTATTGTATTTTCGACCTATTTTTCCCAATCTGCTTTCTGTGCAGATTCCGCGCGGTAGAACATTATTTTCGGTTGCTACACTTGGAAAAATACCTTTGAAGCGCAACCGTAGTGAAAATATCCAAAATAATTAATTCAACGGAATTCCCCCGATGGTTTTAGTCCGATGTCAGAAATTCTGGTCTTTTTATTAATGCACATTTTATCTGTTTATTAATTAAAGTTGTAATCGGTTAATTACAAAGATTTTTTGATGACATTTTTCCTAAAGAAAATTAAGATCTCTGTCAAAGAGACGCATGAATATTGAAATGAATGGGTGGATCAAACAATTTTTTTTCTTCCTTAAATATGAGCACTTTCTTACCGATTTTTACTGAAAAATGCAACGTAATTTCATTGATTTTTTTGGAAATGCACAGCTACTGACAGATGGGTTCAACCAACGAATAAATGTATTTGCAACCAAAATATGCAACTTGTTCAATGTCTTTTTGGAAGACAGACAATAGTACTTTTATTGTTTGGAATGTCCAATGGATATTTATAGCCAATACTGATTAGGCGTTGATACTATATTTAGGTCGAAAACACAAGACGTTTATATTTTTGTAAGGAAAACTGTACCCTCTCCATATTATGGCATATAAATAAAATAAACACAAAACTGCAATTTGGGTTATATCATTTTATTTATAGACACATATGCTAACATTTTAAGCCCATATTTTTTCAAATTCTATAAAGTTTGCGATAAATTAATAAATAACATCTAAATAGGTCGAAAATACAATACGCCAGGATATTTAGACCACAGGCAGGCGGGGCACATGAAATAACATTATGATGCAATGCCTTACCATTTTCAGTTGGGTCAGATTACTTACCACAAATTCAATGTGCTGATTAGTTATACTCTGTTTTATTTTGTTAATTAAAATGTAAACAAGTAACAGCAAAAACATAATGAAAACACAACGTACCTAAGATAAACAATCACAACAACGTGTCACAACCCAAACCGGAAGTAGTATTGATTAATTCATCCGTACATAAAAGTATTCGTATAACTTTTGACTTTTCAAAAACGTTTCACCGCGAAATTTATGGAGTATACATTTACCATGGTGACCGAAAATATGTCTTGTAAAAATATCTTCATAGAACTACATGTTCTTGCTTCTTAATTTGATTATGCATGTTTATTATTATTATATGTTGATCAGCAAACACAGGCACTTGTTTCGGTAATAAATTTTTAACTCATGGTATAATAATAAATTATTATGAAATTATTTAATAAAAAAAAACGTCAGTAGCATCTGACTTATTGAAATATGGTATTTCCTGATGATAAAGTCATTGTATCGACCACAGAATTTGCGAAATGATGACGTTAAACGAGACGGTCGATATATTCTTGTTTCATCAACTTGTTTGTCAATATCTTACCTCGTTTTAGAAATTGTTCATACAAAGAGCAGAGGTATAAGCCCCATACGCAGATGACAAAGGTATATTGCTGCATAATTAGTTGAAGTTGAAGATTGAAAAGTTAAAGTCATCTTTAAAGTCAAGTTTATCATAGAGCTTGGTTGATAGATTACCATTAATTAACGTCTTTTTCTAATAAAATCTAGTTATTAGATTACCACTGACGTCTTTTTCTGGTAAAAATATCCATATATCAGATATTAACATAGATACAGTTAAAAGTAATAATTATTATAATTGTAATAACTAATAAGTTACAATACCCCTCATTTGTTATTAGAAAAAAAACAATTTTAGAATTAAATACATGTTTCAGTCAGAGTGAGAGAGAGAGAGAGAGAGAGAGAGAGAGAGAGAGAGAGAGAGAGAGAGAGAGAGAGTTCTTACTCTTGGAGAAATTCCATCTGACCAAGATAATTTTTTTTTATTTTATTGAAACTTCAATTGTTGTGCAATGTGCAGTCGTAATGTAAAAATGAGGGTTTATAAAATTTCGGGTTCAATTAGCCATGAATCATTTGTCCGATTTCTACATTTGAATGTATGCTGTTTGGAAAAATTATTTTCGTGGAGACAAAGGATTCATTTTAATTTTCAATTCTGCAGTCAATTCACTCTTTGAAAGTCTATATTCGACAAAGTCATTTCATTTCTGAAAACAAACGTCATGATAAATGGAATCTTCTGAGCAATTGTAACACCTGCATGTGTTGTCCCCTGCTTTCATAAACTGGGGGGTATTCTCGGTCTGTTCATTTGTCTGTCTGTAACACTTTCGTTTCCGCGCCATGGTGTACAAACAGACAGAATTTATGAAATTTCGATTTTGAGGTCAAAGGTCAAGGTCATGAATTCATAAATTCTGTCTGTTTGCACACCATCGTTTCCACGCAATATCTATAGAAGCTTTAGAGCTTTTTCAGTAAAATTTTGTACCATGCATATACCTTTCTAAGGTCTAAGAAAGACCCCTATTTGTTTTGAGGTCCTATGGCATAAAGAATATCCCTATTTATTTTGAGGTCGTAGGTCAAACCTCAAGATCATAAAATAAATCTGTCAGTTTCAACATATTCGTTTCCGCGCGATATCTGGAGAAGCATTTGGGCTTTTTACAGTGAATTTTATATGGCTTGGGAAAGACCCCCTCTTTTTTTTAGGTCAAAAGACATAGGTCAAGGTCGTAAATTCAAACATTCTGTATGTGTGTAATACTTTTATTCCCGAGCGATATCTCAAGAAGCTAATTGAAACTCTTGCAATAAAATGTTATACCATAACTCCCTGTGGCCCCGTCCGCCCTTCTTAAAGTGTCTGCCACCCTTCGACCCTCTCCTCCGATCCGTGCATTTTCTTTTTTTCCATTAAACATGTTAAAGGTGCATGGAATGAAAATATTAAAACTATAATCCAGAAAATTCAGAGTAGAAATGTTCGAAAGCAAAACATACACACAGTATATTGTCAATCCGTGCAGTTGTGGTGAGCAGACTTTAACAATTGAATCGTAAACAACAACAATAACAGAGCTCATCGATTTTAGCAAAAACTGAGAATGTAAATTCCAATGCAGTTTACAAAAGCTGTGTTTGTTTTTGGATGTTTCTTTGTTTTAACGTTTCTTAATATATTTAAACATTTAAAAAAAGTAATGTTTATAAACGTCAGAGTTACCTTAATGTGATTCCAAGTATTGATTATAAACTTTGTGAAAGTGGAAGGCTGTGTCAATCAAACCCATCCAAAAATTTGAAGTTTCAATAACTTTAAAATGAAGTAAGATTTTTAATTTATTTTTTTGTGTGAAATGCTATTAAAATATATAAGTCGTGATATTTACAGAAAATATTAACTTCAAATCTGTGTCCATGCACATTTAAGCATGGAACACAGCTACTCTGAATTATACTTCAATGCTACAAAGTTTATGACGTCCTACTTACTAATCCCTGAACATTACGAGGTGATGTCTATGGCTGTCCTCGTGTCCCAGATAGATAGGGAACATCGTGTGCTCAAGTTTGTTTTGATCTTTTATGCATACACATAAACGTACAAACAAACATAAACCTAACTATAACCTATGGCAGCCATGTTTAGGAAAACCGTTTATTCGACGCTTGCAAAAGAAGGTATATTGTTCTAATACCAGTACATATTTATTTTCTATTTCGCATTGAGGGGGTGAAGTAATAAAAGCTTTAATGTTAATGCATTTAGCAATGTCAACTCAACATGCATCAAGGTAGTTCGGTCCCCAGGTTCATAAAATCAGATAATGCTCACAAAAATATCTTTGAATTGACAAAGTAATGTGTACTTAACCATAGTTAGTCATTATACTAATATTAATCATATTTTATAGGGAAAAGTATCAAATCTCCAGTATATATTATATAATACATAGTGTTAAAAGCTTGTGAAATCATTGCAAGACATCACGGGTCACTTCTAATACTGCTTTACTTTTATAGACTACAAATGTTTTGTTTTTACAAGACCCTTCCTAGAACTTCGAAGAACCGTGAATCATGTTAATCATATGCATAAAATGAAAATTGTTGCATGAAAAATTTCCAGTGTCAAGTGTCAAGTAAATTAAGCTTTAAGGAGACTCTATAAACACTGCACACTAAAGAGCTCTAATCGTAGGGTATTTTATGCTTTTTGGAGTGAACTGTCCTCTAGAAGAGAGATAGAAAAAATGGTTATTTACAGTTAATTACACAATTTGTAATAGACAAAAATGTGCTCAGCATTACATAAGTTATTTCCATTATTTTTCCAGTGTAAGTAAACAACAGTGTTTCTGTTCACGCAAAGTCCCTTGTCTTTTCATATTTTTCAAGCAGAATTAAGGCAAGTACCCTTAAAATGAATTAAATAGTCTCAATATGCTCACCTTTATACGATATATTATTTTTCTCCAAGTAAAAAAAAAGCACATTTTGTGAGTGTTTAGAGCTTCTTTAATACTTTAATACTAATGAATTTAAGAACTGTCCTTCCTGGACCCGGATCGATTATCTTTAAAATTCCTCATGTGGATAAAGATACAGTGTATCTGTCTCTGCAGCTCCAAACCCATGCATATGGTACGCCAGATTTTCACAGGATGTTGGACGCGACTCCCTGGTTGAGCCGACTAGACCAAAAATGGTCACCCAAATCCCTGGACCAGAATCCTTAAATCAGTTGCACCAACTGGACCAGATTCAGGTGTTTTTTACAATGGATCGATTTTTTAAGTTTACTGAATTCTATAATATCAAATGAATCAAATGCTGAAATACAAAAACCAGCCATAAGTTATATTAAGAAATAAAGACCGGTATATGCAAGAACAAGAGTTTCAAAAACTATATCTTCATTGATAAACGGGAAACCATTGAATTAAAATTACTTTTAAAAAGTCTTATGGTTCGTATTTTTTATTAGATCACTTTCTGATTGAGTATTGTCACTTGGGTATTTCGACGAAAACCATTTTTTTAAATTGATGTGATGTTTAAAAAATCAAAAATGAATTAAGTACAAGTAATCCAATAACAATTTACTTGATAGAACACAGATGCGGTAGCTTTTTTCGCGGACTACAGTCAAAGCTATGGAAATTACATCGTAGACGCAGATGATAATGTAATGCTGGACATGTTTACACAAATGGCGTCCATTCCTATCGGTAAATATTATTGATATGAATAATGAAAACTCAAAACAAATCTACCTGAATATAAACCTAATAAGATAATAACTATGCTTTTGATGTTTCCTGTACCAGAGTTTTACTTGTAGGTTATAATCATCCAAAACTGGCAGAGACGATGAGTAAAAAGGAAAATTGGGTAAAACCAATCTCTTTGTCTCTCTCTCTCTCTCTCTCTCTCTCTCTCAGTCTCTCTCTGATGAAATGAAAGGAAATAAAATCATTAAACTTTTCACTCTAAAGAAATTTGGGATAACATTTAATTCTTAGTTATGTTTATGCTACTTGCTATACATAATTAAAGAGTTATAGTTCATTTTAACGATTTAAAATCATATGTTTAAATGCTTATGAATTAGTTAGTATCACTATTGTCCCAAATATAAGTGCAAAATCGTTGTCAAGCGCTAAATAATATATGCATTTTACATTTTATAGTACCCAATTGTTATCATTTTGGCACGTGATGCTAAATGATATCCCTTTTCTGTAGAGCACTTTCATCAATCGACCTTCCCTGGGAGTTTTCCCCCCAAACAACTGGAACCAGCTTCTTAAAGAGGATCTCTTATCGGTAGATATCTGTGAAATGTTGTTTTAAATTCAAAACGAATCTTTTATGGATTTATTTGAAATTAATTTTTTCCGCATTTGAAGATGGCTACTTCTTTCTTCATTGAATTCTAACTATTTTCACATAAAGAAATTAAATTTAAAACTAAAATTTGTTTGACTGTAGGTTGCTCCTTTGGGAATGGAACAAGTCCAGACCATGTCTTGTGGTTCCTGTACAATAGAGAACGGACTAAAAGCCATGTTTATAGCTCACGAAGTATGTAAAAATATAATTGGAGCCGAGTGAAATAGGTGCATTGATCCTTTTAATAACTATGTAGTTTTAATTTCATTACATTTCTATCATCGTCGCAAACCACGGCCAAAATGTACGATCCTCTCCCATTCTGGCCGTGGTTGAATGAGAATAGAATTTCTCGTAGTTCATTAAAATATTGACCAATGCGAGTAAAGCATAGTCGGGTAATGAACTTTGATGTGACCTTTCAATATCCAATCGCAGTGTTCGAAATATTTCTTGTATACTGCTGATGTAAATTGTTTATTTCATTTGCGATAGCAACAAGACGTGTCATTGAAAATTTCACTTTTTGTGTTCAAACATTTTTATGAACCGTTTTTTTGCATTTCTATGCAATTCAATTTTTTTTCATTTGATAACTCATTCGCATTATGACACAAACTCCATATGAATTTATGATGCGCGCTATTTTTAGATGATGTTGACCCATGGCTAGAGTAGTGTGTGATTAGTTTCCTTCTTTTCTGCAGAGAAGGAGAGGCGGGGCGCCACCGACACCGGAAGAGATGTCCTCTTGTATGTGTAACTTGCCACCAGGGAGCGCTGATATCACCATTCTGTCCTTTACAGGATCGTCACACGGCTGGACACTGGGTATGATTATACCCCACTCAACAAGTTGCGTGAGATATATATTTTAAAAAAATTAATGAAATTATCAGTCAGAGTGTCAGTCAGTCAGTCCTGTTTTTTTGTCAGCGCAACTCCTCTTAAACCGCTGCACAAAATTTCATCAAACTTTGCTGATATTTAGGACACAATGTGTAGATGTGCATTCTACCAGAAAATTCCGATTCCTTTATTTTTTACCGGAATTTCCGCACTTTTTAACTTAGATTTTTGGCCATACCTTGAATATAGAGATGAACAGTTTGTCAGCACAACTACTCTTAATCCGCTTCACAGAATTTCGTCAAACTTAGCAGATATTTAATAGGAAACAATATAGATGTGCATATAACCGAGAAATTCCGAGTCCTTTATTTTTTCCGGGTTTGGATTTTGGGGGAGCGTGGGGTATATGAGCTTGTTATAAATGACTGAAGTGTATTCTGCAAAGAGCTTCTTCGTTTCATTGTCTTTTCGTTGTCGTCTGGTCACTCTATATATTTTCTACGTCCTCGCTTTAGGGTCAATTGTGAAGGGGGTATTAAAATTTCTCAATAAAAGGTCATGTCACCTTTTAAGTGAGGAAAATTGATAAGTTTTAGTAAAAGGGTGGAGGAATGATGAGGGTTTTAAAAGTTGTTTAAAATGAATTTTATTTTTACTTTCATATATAAAAGTGATTGAAAGTTTTACCAAAGCACGTACTAGTAGTTTCCCTGTGTATCTTCTGTCCGTTTCTATCACCATTTGATGGTTACAGGTGCGCTGGCGGCAAGTCACGCTAACTGGATGCAGAAGTTGGATTTAAGAACCATGAAGTGGCCTGTAGCGACTTTCCCTTTACTGAAATATCCTCTGGAGGAAAACGAGGGGGAAAACAGAATGGAAGAAGAGCGCTCATTGAGTGAGGTCAAATTTTAAGGTCCTCTTTTTCTGTAGTATAAAGATATATGGGACCATCTTTTTTATTTTCTTTTGTCCTCTTAATGCTAAGAAGAGGTTCCACTTAGCCGTGTCTTTTTTGTACTTGTTATTCTCCTTACCGACAATTATGACATTTTACGTTAATTAAATAGGCCTATAGAAATGATGTCACCATTGCTAGTACATGTATTTGTGTGTAATGTCTTGAGTAATTGCATATACCATGTGAATTTCTGCTGAACTAGAGCTAATGCCCGATCATATCCCTGAACACACATGTGGAAAAAAAGTTCCAAATCCATGTTTTTTTTTATATAAATATGCTATTTACCTCATGTTTTGAACATGTTTTATAAAATGGTTTTGTCATATTAAAATATGCTTTTTACCTCATATTTTGAAGATGTTTTATAAATTGGTTTGGTCACTCACAATTATTGCTTGCCAGATCAATTAAGAAAGGACATGATGTCTTGATGCTTGATGCAAATTAAAATACGGGAAATTAAAATTTTGTCAAACTTCTGGTGAATTGGTTGTATTTAACCGACTATAGGTGAAAAAGAAGCTGATTTTCTTTGACAGGTAGCAGATAAAATAGAGCAGTACAAGAAAGATGGCCGCCCTGTTGCCGGGTGTTGTGTAGAACCTGTACAGTCTGCAGGGGGAGATAATCACGCCAGTCCGTGGTTTTTCAGAGAACTCCAGAAAATATGTAAACAAGTATGTCCAAAACCTTTTTGTACATAGTATATCTTTATGTATACCTTTTTGAACCTTACCAGCAAACTCTTTTGTTTTTCCACTTAAATTGTTGGAAAGGCCCGAGAAATTAAATTTTGCGACTGGTATATGATTCATGATCTTGAGATTTTATACCCAAGTCTTAAAGTGACCATTTTCATGAACTTTTGATTATCGATCCAGACTTTGTCACACTTTAACATTTTCTTTTCTTTTCTTTTTGAAACTCTGCTAATTTTTGGAAATTTGTTGATTTTTTCAGAATAATGTAGCTTTGTTAATTGACGAAATCCAGACAGGATGCGGATCGACAGGAAAGTTTTGGGCCCATGAACATTTTGAATTACCCGAGCCCCCCGACCTCATGGCCTTTGGTAAAAAGATGCTTGCAGGAGGGTTTTACTATCGGGGAGAAATGAGGCCATTGGAGGTAGGAATTAGGTATTTCTTTAGAAATCAGTCTTAATTGAGTGAAGCTTGTAAAATGAGTCAGTTAAAACCCATTTGATTTTTTTAAAGTGTTACGGTATTCTTGATTATATAAAAGTAAATGTTGGCTGCCTTCATATTGCACATTTTTGCACAATTAATCAAATCAGTCGACCTAACAATTAGATTGATTGATTGATTGTATACTGTTTAACGTCCCTCTCCAGAATATTTCACTGATATACGTGTATTGCCGTGAAGGGCTGCAAATTTCTTCATGCCTTTGTAGACTTTTGCCACATAAATGAGTCGTAATTAGTCGCCTTTTACGACAAGCCGAGGGCTATACTCCCCAGTGTAACAATTAGAAGACAAATATGTATTTTCACTGGAAAAAAAACACACATCACTTGAATGTCTTTTTCATATTTCCTTGCAGCCATTTAGAATTTTTAACACTTGGGTGGGCGACCCCTCTAAAATTGTGTTGCTTAGGGCTGTGTTAGACACGATAAAGGAAGATAACTTGTTAGCTCTCGTGTCGGACACAGGGACACACCTCCTTAAAGGGCTAAGGGATATCGAAGTGAGTACAAAAGAGTTCAAACATTGAAGAGTTACTGATGGAAAGTGGCATATTTTTGTTTTACTTAAGAAAAATCATATACAAATGTAGGCATTAAAATTTACATAGGTATTATACCAACAATTTTTACTATATATAATATTCATTTGTTTAAGTAGCCTACATTAAAATTCAGTTTATTTCTTGACTTGTTATAGAATAACGGAAAGGATTTTTTTTTCTTTTTCAGCAAAAATATCCTTGCTACGTCAGTAATGCCCGTGGTCTTGGGACACTGTGCGCCGTGGATTTTCCGAACGATTCTCAAAGAGATAAAATCATTCATCATCTACGAAATAAGGGTGAATAGCTACATATATACAGATTGCTAGCAATTTGTCTTTTCTCTTTTCTTGAAATTTGAAATGAAAGCCGTCTGGAACCGCCACCATCTCCACCCACCAAATCCCTGACATGGCTTTAAGATTTTTAGTGTGTGTGAAATATAAGCCTGTTTAATTACAGTCTACTTTTTCAAAATATCTGTATCTTTCTTATCATTTGGGTCTAGAAACATATTTAATTGAATTATATAATTATGTGTGTGCACTTTCAAATGGTCTTTTATCTATCAATACAGGTATAAACACTGGTCCTAGTGGAGACAAATCCATCAGACTTCGACCTTCCTTGATCTTTACAAAGAAGCATGCTGATATTTTCTTGGAGATTTTTGAATCAACAATAGAAAACAGAATGGCATGATTGACAATATTGCAGGTTTACTCAGCAACTTATCGGTCTAAGTCTATTACATTGTATATGTAGAGGCCTAGCTGTGGACCTTGAAGATGTTATACGCGTTTGTTATACTTGTATAAATTAAATACTTTTTAGTTTTACTTTTTCTTCCATTTTTTTTTATTTTTAGATAATTTAAGGAAAGTATTAACGAGATGTACTAATTTTGTGAAATGGGGGGGGGGGGGGTACGGCGAGCAGCTTATGGCAAGGATTGAAGTTTCTCAAATGCATGTCTAACTTCAAGGTCAAGAGTTAAAAAATGTTTTTTGTCCAAACAAAGGACTTACAAGTGTCAATATGTATTTGAAATATTAGATCATGAGTGCTAACTTGCTATTATAAATATACAAGTGAAATATAAAAGCTCTAGCATCATCTGTTCAAAGGTTATGGACACGGTTAAAGGGATATAGACAAAGATATGAAGTTACTATTTTCTCTATTTTTCTGTATAATTTCTTGACTTACTCGTATTTGTTGTTTTAGCATTTCACACTAAAATATATTTTTAAAAAATATTTTATTTTGCAATTATTGAAACTGCAGTTTTCAGGGCGCCTTTTGCATGCTTTTTCACAAAGTTGTTTGTTTGCTGCTTAACGTCCCTCTCGGGAATTAAAAATTTTCCCCTCATATGGAGATGCCAACACTTGCCAGTGGAGAGCTACAAATGTCCTATATTCGGCATATAATTACTACCATTCAGCATTATCTTTTTTTGTGATAGCATACGCAACTCTACAAGCAGACACTCTTTGCAACGCGGGCGACCCTTTCACAAAATACCCTTAATAATATAACGGGGTATATTTTAAAGTAGAAAATTTTGTTGTGTGTTAATGAGAAATATTTAAACTATAATCCAGAAAACTCAAAGTATAACTAAGAGAAAGCAAAATCATCTAATCAGTATTGTCATTCCGTGCTCAGTGCATGATATGTGCAGAGTTTAATGAATTGAACACACCCGTGAAACGTAAACTGTTTCTGTAAACAGACCTTGGAGTTTAGTCCATTCATTATTGTTAAACAAATAACAAAACATTTGGTTAAACCATGTATATATTCATTGCAGGCCAAAACAGTTGGTGGAAATATTCATTGAAAGGCTGGATCCCCCCCCACACTTTATAGTATACTAAGTTCTTCACGAAAGAATGTGAAAAAAGTTGCTTTTGTTTGTCAACTTTTTCAGGTAAGTCAAAAAAAAAGCTTTGCTACGTGGCTGCATTGCGAAAAAACGCATTTAATTGGTATAAATATTTCTGACCTTTTACATTGACCTAAGTAGAGTTTGACCCACTTTGAAAAAACGTAAACCTTGGCCATACTTTTTGAAGAGTTAGTACTAGGGCTTTCATATTTCACAAGTGTATCCCTTGCGAAAAGACCTTTCTCTTGATGTTAACAATTTTGACCTTGACCTTGGATTTTGACTTGCATTTAAGAAACTTCAACCTTCGCCATAAGTTGCTGCATGTCGGCATCAGTTTTTCACAAACAAATCTTGTTTATTATATTTCCGTGTGAAATGTTAAACCGACATATATGCCATAATGTTATACAGAATTGTTGCGAAAATTTCAACTTTAAATTTGAGTTCTTTGTCCCTTTAGACTTTTTCAAAACTAGGTCATGGTCAAAGCGTCAAAATTAATGGTATCCAAAGGAAGGTCTTGGTATAAGTAATACTTCTGTGAACTATGAATTAATGCCCTAGCTGATATACAGTATACTAATCAAAAGTTATTGCTTTGGTTAAAGTTTTTTTACAAGTGGGACAAACTCTTAAGTCAAGGTCAAAAATATTTATTCTCCTTGAAAGATTTTGTCACATTGAATACACAAACCAATTGCATCAACTGATGAAAAGTTAATGTTTGATAAAAGTGGATAAAATTCTAAGTCTAGGTCAGGAGGTCAGATTTGTTGGAACCTAAAGAGAGGTCTTGTCATAAGAAATAAACTTGTGAAATTTGACAGCTACATACCCCACCCACTCAAAAATAATTGGCAAGGTTAAAGTTTTAGGGGCCAAAGTAGACAGACAGACGGGCGAGCAGGGGAAAAACTTCTACCCCGAATCTTCGATTGTTGGGGCATACGGAAAAGTGTCATTCCTATGTATCAACCAGCTTTTTTTTAAGATAACACTAGTGGGTACATCTTCGCTAGCCAAGGGTTTCTGATACGCTACTCTCCTCATAATCCCTAGGGTTTATGAGGAAAGTAGCGTATAAGAAACCCTTGGCTAGCGAAGATGTGGTGGATATAGAGGGTGTGTTTGTGTGTGTTGTTGATGGGAGAGGGGTGGGGGTTGATATAGAGGGGACCAGGGACCCCCTTTATGTCCAAAGTACACATAACATTTATTCAGGGACCTATATACTTATAATAGTATATATAGGCGTGGGCCCCTATATACCCCGACTCCGAACTGCACCACCTCCCCCTTTCAAGATTCCTGGATCCGCCACAGGATAGATATTACTATGAAGTAAGGAAATTTCTAAATTCGACGTCATTTAATTTCCCGAAAACTTTAATATTGTCCTCGTGATCAAACACGGGCCTCCCCCTTTTCAAAATTATAAACGCTATGTTTTAATTTAGGCCTAATTAACTTTTATTAAACTAATTGAAAGACTTGAGTGCGTCAAATTTAACAAATTTTATTTATCGTGAAAAGTTATATAAAAATACTTAAAGTGGTAGATATTCTGAAATCAAAATAACATCTGTGGTTTTCATTTATCAATAAAAGAGACCTATAGTGCTTTTCCAATCAGTTCCGGATATTTGTTTTCTAAACTTATCTGAACCACGCGCAAAAATCCCAGAATGCAACAGTGGATTCTCAAGTCGCCATATTGATTAGGAGAAATTTGGGAAAGGCGATAGAAGATATCAAATAATATAAGCATTTTTTGTCCTGATAGGTAAATATTGTTGACGTTGTTTTGCTTTGCAAAATTTCTTTATAAAATCATACGTTTTTGCCGATTTTGCACAATTTTTCGTAAGAAATCGTGATTCATTTTTATAACATTTTACCAGCTGAATTTTTTTTTTGATACAAGAAAAAATTGCTGTACTTGTTAACCAGTAAGCTATTCCACCTAAAAATTAAAAGAATGTTTGCATAACATTTTTGGTTTTTAGTTTCTTGATTATTTTTTTATTGTTAGCTATAGAAAAAATTGCCTTTTGTCACATGGTACTTGTTAACCAGTATGTTTTCAATAATATTCCTAATTAGTAAAAAAAAATGTACTAAATTTACTCCCTTTTATAAACTTGTAATTCTTCATTCTACTAAATCACAACATAATATATATCTGCTTTTGGCTTGAAATTTTCTGGATAAAATGGCAAAACTGAATTTATTTTGTTCAAGATACTAAGTTGAATTGTTTAATTTTGGATCCAGTGTATTCACTTTCATATCAATGTTTACTTTACATAACAAATTCGAATTGTGCCATAGGTTACTATTTTTGATAAAAGTCAACTGGAATCAGCCCCTCTTTCTCTTTCTAAAATATCTGCTTTTGGCTTGAAATTTTCTGGATAAAATGGTATTTTTTTTATATTGATAAACAGTACCATTCCCAATGTCAAAACCGTTAATTTTTCCCAATTTGAAGAGAAAAAATCCCAACCCCACTGCTGAGGAACAGACTATGATGATAATGTAATTTTTTTCTTGTGAAAAGTTGTTTGACTCAACTATATGTTTAATTTCCTCTTAAATCAAAAGTAGTGTTAAGTAGTAATATGGCAGGACATGCGTTGTTGACAGCGTGGTTGTTGGACACGTTACTGTCTTTACATTTTTGACAACTTAAAAGCATGATAATGAGAGATCAAGGGGCATTAATATGTTAAACAATTAATAATTCTTGAATTTCAGTGACATTTAATTAATATTGTAATCTCAAATAATAATGAGGTCTGTTTTGTCTTTTAGTGACATGGAGATTCATCCATTTGCCCTGCAGCAGGGTCAGTATGGTATATACCAGGGGGCCATGGGAGCTGTGGGTGTGCCTATCAATATGTACAACCATGCCGGAGAGGAGTACGAAGAGGGCGAATACATCAATGAAAATTACGGCTATGAAGAAGGAGGATACGACCTCGTACCAGGTCACCTCGGTCAGAAACAAGATAACATGGACAACCAGCCAGACTATAGTAGAGAAAGAGACAGGGACAGGTGAGCAACCTAAAATAACTTCAGTAAGCTTCTTATGGTTAGATGGATAACTCAAAAATACATCTTAATGTGTAAGTTAATCAACTCTAGACCAAGAAAAACTTCGGATTGTTGTCTTAAAACTGAAGATTATCTTAAATGTAGATCCAGAAGGCGAGACAGGGACAGGGATGGACGTCGTCGAGATGAGAGAAGATCATCACATGATCGAGACAGAAATCGTAGAAGAGATCGCGATCGTGACAGAGATCGGGATAGAGGGAGAGATAGGCGAGAGAGAGAAAGAAGTTCTCACAGATCGTCAGATGATGATAGGGTAAGAAATAACACTGTTCTGTGACTTCTGTTTACTTAATGGTGAATCAGTTTTGGTAGTATAATAGTGATTGTAGTATGCATCAACGCAAGAAAAAAATAATGATATCGATGTACTTCTATTACTGTATTGTTGATTGTAATGGATTTAAATATTCTGATTCACAAGTTCAAATTTTAGATTGGTTACAAAGTTATTAATTCTAGAGAACTTCATGTTAGGATTGAACCTTTGTTCAACAAGTACAAAGTAACATTAAATTTGTTTGAGTACTACTGAGGAAATTACTGATGATGTTGTTTATCTGTACTAGGACTCGGACAGTCGTGACAGTTTCCATAGGTCAGATCAGAGAGAGGATAGAGCTGGGGAAAAGTGGATGACAGACACACCCACAAACACAGTCCTGCTCAGAAATCTACCCCCGCAAGTGGAGGAGAAAGATGTAAGATTATCGATAATAATAAATCAAATTACAAGAGTCATTGTTAAGCATATACCTTTTTGCAGCAATCTATCAGAATTTAATCTAATCGAGACATATTTCCTCTTCTCGACAGACTTATATTTCTTGGAGTGGGTTTTTTTGTACTTGCGGTCAAGAAGTATAAAATATGCTTTTGTTTTGGTAGAACATGAAGAGGATGATTTTGTATGTATAATAAAGTTCTTATAATATGTGAATGTTTTTTTACAGATTCGTGCAGAATTAATGATGTTTGGGGCCCCCGTTAGAGATGTGCGTCTTATGAGAAGAAGTACAGGTACAAACAAAACTTCCAATTTTACAAAGTCAACCACATTTTGAACTTAAATTTCCTGAATAATATTAATATTAATGCTATCTTCAATTTATCAATTCAAATCATACACACAACCCTTAAGAAAACAACAAAAAAACAACAAAGAAAAAATAAATTGCAGAAAATAGGATGAAAGGATAATGGAAGTCTCTATATTGTTTGACAAATATAAGGCACAAAAAAAAAGTTATTTCTAAAGAAAAATAGAAGGCACTAAGATAAATCAATACTTGATATGCAAGTTTAGGTTTAAAAATTAGAACATGTTAGAAATTGATGTGTTCGTTTGAGTTCCGGTGGAAGTTGGTAAGTTGCAGAGAACATATGATGCCCGTTGGCCTTGATACAGACATTTTGGAGGATGACTCGTGATGCTGATTTGTTGTGCCCCACAATAAGATAAACTTTGTGTGCTAATGACATTTAAATCGTTAAACAGGTACCTCCCGGGGCTTTGCATTCGTGGAGTTTCAGAGTGTGGCAGATGCCCAGCGATGGATGGATCATTATCAGGTCAAACAAATGTCAAGAGTGTATAAGTTAGGGGGGGATCTAGGAGTTTATTATCATAACAATGTCAAGAGTGTATAAGTTAGGGGGGATCTAGGAGTTTATTATCATAACAATGTCTAAAGTGTACAAGTTAGGGGAGGGGATCTAGGGGTTTATTATCATAACAATGTCTAAAGTGTACAAGTTAGGGGAGGGGATCTAGGGGTTTATTATCATAACAATGTCTAAAGTGTACAAGTTAGGGGAGGGAATCTAAGGGTTTATTATCATATCAGTGTCAAGAGTGTACAAGTTAGGGGAGGGAATCTAGGAGTTCATTTATATCATATCACACAAATGTATAGGAGTTCATTATCATAACAATGTCAAGAATGTACAAGTTAGGGGGAATCTAAGAGTTCATTTATATCAAACAATGCCATGAGTGTACAAGTTAGGGCCATAACAATGTCTAGTGTGTACATGTTCAAGGGAGAGGGATCTAGGAATTCATTGTTAAAACATGCTCAACCAGGAAGATGAAAGAAAGGAGAGGTGTGCACAAATTTAGGAGAGTCACTTCGTAATTTTTATTCAATAATTGAGTTGAGTTTAAATTGACTAAATTTAGTGGCAGAATTGGAATAGATTAGAAATTGAAACACTATTTGTATAAATGTTGAAATGTTTAATATTGAAGAGGGGGGGTGAATTAAAATTAAATTTTTAAGTTTGAATGAGTTTAACAACATTCTGAAAATGTGAAACAGTCATGATGAAATGTGTAAAAAGTTGTGTGATATTCATCATGGTCTGAAAAATCCTTCAACTAACAAAGCTAGGAAGCACTAATGAAAACTTTATAATGATTTGTTGCAATACATGTAGTTTCCTTAACTTCAGGATTTTGATAGATTTCTAATCAAAATCTTAGATGTATAATCACATCTGCTTTTCTACATGCTACTATTCCTTTGTCCCTGTTAGGGGAAAATGTGACTTGATGATTACCAATTAACTCATTCCCATGCATGAAGACAGAGCCCATTACAAAACTCTGTGTACTGAGCACTACTATATACAGATTACAGTCCATGATTCTTAGTGGACAGGCTCTTTTGGCTTCTGGTAATTGCCCTTTTAGGATGACATGTAAAATCCTTTGTGTTTATTTTACAGGGCGTGCTGAATATCCAGAATCATTATTCTGCCACCATGCACTACAGCACCCCCAAGACGGGGCCAGAAAAGGGACCTATCCATAAAACGGACTGGACCTGTAGCAAGGTAATGTCTTCCTCCTCTGGTGGCCCCTGTGGCTGGTCTATTTGTTGTGGGAGGGGTGAGATTTTGGGGTTGGGTGGGTGGGCATTTTGTTTTGGTAGTTATTAAATCATTTCTATTTAGATACATTTCATAATATTGACATGAGATACTGAAGTGTGGATTTCAGTACTGGGTTATTGTAGAATTCAGGAAAAAATAAAGCAACAATCATAAAAGAAAAAAGTTTAAGCATAAGTTTTTAAACAGGATAAAAAAAATGTACAAAATAGAAGAACATTTCTAAATCTATTCTTGAAATTCAGTTATATTTTGTAAGATATATTATGGACACAATATTATTATTTTGTAATACACAAGTTATGCAAATCATATGTAAAAGGGTTTTGATTGAGGGTAAGTATAACAAACATTTACATGATACACACCTCTATACCAACTCTTGATTTTATGCCATGCTCTTGTTCAATGATATTTTTTAGGATAATTTAAATTTGTATGTAAATTTCTTAACTTTTAGTGTGGCGTCCATAATTTCAAGAGAAGGGATCACTGTTTCAAGTGCAATTTGTCGCGAGAAGGTAGAGTATATCATACACTTGGAGAATTATCAGGTGTGCTGTAATGTAGGGGGCGAGTAGGGGGTAAATACATTGGGAAAAGAAAGGTATGGGTCGGGGAGGGGGGTGCAGAGTAATTTACTTTACTGTTTACCACTTGACCAAAACATACTATACTGAACAAGAATTTTACCTGTGTAAATCATATCAATGACTTTTTATTTTGCATAAAACTCTTCTTCTTCTTTTCTACTTCAAATCAACAATTCTATATTGTTGAAGTTCTTCATTAACAAATAACTGATGGAATTTTGCCTTGAGCTTTAGTGACATAACCAGTAATTTATTTATGTTTATTGCTTAAAAAGAGCATGATTTGTGGATCATGTAAAATAGAGATTTCAGAGTCTTTTATTGACAGTTGTTATGAATATGTGTAAAAGGATATATGTCAATTTCTGATATGAATGAAAACCTTAAAGAATGGCATGCATAGTGAGAAACAGAGAGAGAATGGAAAATACTATCATTCCTATATTTGGCTATTTATTTGATGATGTGGAAAAAAGGGGTTGACCCACAGACAGATCAGGGGACTGGGCAAAATCAGGCTGGTGGATCTCAGATTTGTTTGGGTGGATATAAAGCAACATTGTTTTGTATTTCAGAATCTGAGAGAAAACAAGAAGGAGATGGCTTTGACCAGATTGGTACAAATCCGTGCAACAGTGAGTAATGCAAGGTTTTGTCTAGTGTTCTATGACAATGAAATAAGGAAATTATTAATAAATACAGAGTTGCTTTTTACAATGACTGAACTAAAGCTAATGAAATTTGAAATTTCTAACCTCTTATAGTTTATATTTGATTTCTTTAATGAGATTGATTCTCGAAACTGATTTATCCAAGTCAAATAACATAGTACAGTTGTAGTAGAGAGTTTTTAATGCTGTGTTCTGTCTTGCTCTACATAGCCTTGATTCTGCGTGGTTTGGATGCTTTAACAACAGAGGACAACATTGTACATGTGATGGGACAAATCACCACTTTCCCATTGAAGAACGTTCAGATCATCAGAGATGAGGCCACCAACACCTCCAAAGGGTTCGGGTTCATGGAGTTGAACACGGTGAACGAGGCATCCCAGCTGATGGATCAGTTCAACAACCACTTACCACTGGAGGTGGACGGAAAGCAGCTCATGGTCAACTTTGCCAAAAATACTTTCTCCACTGTGTAAGTGATAAATGTACACATTGTCAATTTAGAATTCATTGTATATTACATTCAATCCAACAAGTCAGAATTTAGATTCTGAAAAATAATTTGCCAAAAAAAAATTTGGCCAAATGCCAAAATATTTTGCCCAAATCCAAGATATAAGAGATTGTAGAAGAGTTAAACATGAAGGTTGTTGTCTTTCAGAATGGCTACCTTAAATGCAGCGGCTAGCCAATACGGTACAGCACAGGTAATGATAGAAAAAACTTGTACTAGCATTGTGAAGTCAAAACAAAGACATCTGTCTGAGTGTATTTTGTAATTAGGCCATATAAAATTGAAATCTTGGTTCTCAGGCCCGCGCGCATCCGTTTTGAGGTAGCCGCATTGCCGATTTTATTGTATTTTTGATAAAATAAAAAGTTGGTATTGCGGAGACCAATCCGGGAAAAAAAATTCCGACCTCATTTGTTTCGTAGTTTAGTATTCAAATATCACTTCCGGTAGCAATTTACAATAAATCTCATTGAATGAGATTTTGGCTACTTCGTTTGAAAATACATTCGAGGACATTACCTACGATGTTTACACGCTGTTAAGCAATGGATAAAGCAGAAATTTTGACCAGAAATGGAAAGTATATCTGTGATTAAAAAAATTATCTTTATGTTAAAGAAAATTCGGAAATTAAAATAAAAAAAATACCTCCCTCATCTACTTTATTGCCAATAAAATGAAAAATAAAATGCCACCCTCCCGCATCTGTTTTGGAGAAAATTGGCCCGAGAACCAGGGAATTAAATTTAGATAGCCTTATCATATTGATTTATAAAAAGAAGTCTTTGAAAAGTAAAGCATGGATTTGTATTTTAAACCCTGCAATAAAGTAACAATAAAAGCTTTTGAAGATTGATAAAGGAATAAAGCTTTGGTAAATGCTGGGGGAAATATGCTGTTATTCTCTATATTCTTAGGGTCAGGGGTGGGACTATAACCAGGCCCCTCAGCAGGGTTATTATGACCAGAGTTTTTATCAGGGTGCAGATTACAACCAGGCAGCCTATGCTCAGTACTACGAGGGAACACAGAGTAAGTTCTGGAAACTGTCCTGTTGAATCAATCATTGAACTAAGAATGGAGATGTAGCTACATGTTATGGTGTTAAAATCATTGCAATTTACATGTGTGATTGCTTTAGTTCACTGTGAGTAGCATGTTCAGGAATTATTGCATGTATATAAAAGTATTGTAGATTGATTTTCTCTTTTGTTGTAGCAGATTCAACAAACGCAGCAGCAGCTGTAGCTCAGGCAGCCATTAATAAATCTCTGGCAGCCAAAGGGTCACAGCAGAAAAAGGTCAGGAAATATACAGTGATTACAGGTTAAATATATTAATTCACTTGTTTTATGTTTCAAGTTTAATATTTTTATTACCTTGTTTTAGGGTCAGAATAAAGACCAACAACAAGCACCTGCTCCGGAGGAGAAAACCACTGAAGAGTACCCTAAATATCGTAAGTACTATGTACTTGTAGCGCAATAGAAACAGGGTTACTGGACTATTTCATATAATGTGTTAGGCTCTGATTTTATGAAAGGCTGCCTGCATACCATGACAATAATATCTGAACCAGAAAAAAAAAATTGCACCAGAGAAATCCTCAGGATACCTCAAAGAATCTAAAGAATACAATTCAGTAGCTGCATTTGTAAAAAAAGATTTGCTTGTGTCACAATTTAGAGGTTACATGCATGTAGATAATGTGCAACAAAAAATCCAGATATATTTACCACGGTCATGCTCTTTTCAAGATAAATATTTACTTTTCGCAATGACGATTATTCCCTTAATTGGTATTACACAATTTTAGAAAAATTACTGATTATGTATGAAAATGTAATGGAGGGTAGTAAATTGTGCACAAGTTAGAGCCTATGTATTGCCGTCATGGTTACGTGGGTGTAGATATTGTGCCATAGAAATACCAAACTTAAGTACCACGGGTGATGATTAAATTTGATCAGTACCCATGAAGTTTTTGGGACACACTATGCTAATGCTACAAGTTTAATCAGAAATTTTGCCTCAAAATCCTTTCTAATCTGCAGTTGTCTAAAGTTTATCTAAGCCAATCTAGACTCTAGAGATACTTCTCTCTCTGTCACTCTAATATTCATCTGTTAGTAATAATTTTGTTGATAATGATTATAACTGTAGACATTTATTTGACCTGTTTTTCTCCCCAGCTCCCCCAGATGTATCCACCTACCAGTTTGAGGAGACTTCTGGATACTACTACGATCCCCTGACAACCCTCTACTACGATGCCAACTCACAGTACTACTACAACGCCCAGACCGGGCAGTTTATGTACTGGGATGCCGAGAAATCAACGTACCTCCCCGCCCCCGCCAATCAAGGGCCAGGAGCAGCGACCGAGGGGGAAGGGACAACAGAGAAAAAGAAAAAGGAGGAGAAAAAGGAGAAAAACAAGATGGCCAAGAAAATTGCCAAGGTTATTTCATTTGTTGTTATGTAATTAAAGGGTCCATGTAAAAAGCATTTTCGTGTTTTGATACTGAAGTACAAGTTCTACTCAATCCTGATGATGAATACTGTTGATGAAAGAAATATTTTGTTTCAATAGGATATGGAAAAATGGGCGCAAACCATGAATAAGCAGAAAGAAGCCATGAAAGGCTTTAATGCAGCATTAAAATCTATGAGTCAAAATGAGAGGAAAGAGTCTGCTACTGCTGATGCTGGCTATGCAATTCTGGAGAAAAGTGTAAGTGTTTATATCCAAGGAAATATTTTGATGCATTTACTTCAATACAAGTGAAATTTGAAGGCTGATGATTGTCAACATTTTATTTTTCAGGCTAAAGGAGGTCTAGAGGACAAGAAGTTAATGCCTCCGCCACCAGCAGCTGTAAGTACTTCATTTGGTCACTTTATATAACCCCAACTGTAGCATGGTTAAAAATGAAGCACAATGCAGTGCTTCCTAGAATTTAAAACCAAGCATTGCAAGAAGTAAGCTGATTTCTGATTAATAAGAGCTAAGTGACAAGTTTTATGGAGCTTTTCTACATTGCTAAATTCTTATACGTTACAGGTTAATTCTCCTAGTAGTGGGGCAGGTGGCGCCAAGCCTGGTCTGGTGGCGTCCTACGGTGGGGACAGTGATGAGGAGGAGCCAGGAGATGATGATGGGGGTATTCTGGACGAGAGTAAGCTGACGGATTGGAACAAGCTGGCGTGTCTCCTGTGTAAGCGTCAGTTCCAGACCAAGGAGATCCTGATCAAGCACCAGCAGATGTCTGATCTCCACAAGGTAGCTACTAACATCTTACACATAAAGCTTCTCTGTATAAGTTATCCAGGAATTATGCTTAAAATTGCAGGTGTAGTAATTACGCATACTAATTTGAAATTTAGCATACATGTGATTTTTGGTTTTTTTTTCAGCAAAATTTAGAGAATTTGATAAAGTCCAAAGCTGCTTCAGGTAGCAGTGATTCTGGTCAATTCCAGGTAAGTGGTGCTGTCATAAACGAGTATGATCCTTGTTGTTGAAATTAGTTTGTACATTCTTGATATATTGAGTGTTGTAATGTGATTCTTGCTTCTAAATTTGTAGTATCGAGATAGAGCCAAGGAGCGCAGGGATAAATATGGAATTCCACCTCCACCAGAACCCAGGCATAAAAGACCAGATATTCCAGTACCGTAAGTTATTAGAGAAGGCGCCTCAGTTAAATAAAAATGAAATCGACACTAATAAATATATAAATTCAGTAAAGAAAGTGGTATTAAGTATGTGTATTTTGTAATACTTTTGAAAAAATCGAAGAAATTTTAGGAAACATTTTTGTTGAAGAAAAAATAGATTTAAGTGTAAAATGTGTTTTAGATATGAGCAACCAACCAAGGCTGGAATTGGAGGAGACAACATAGGTAACAAACTCCTTCAGAAAATGGGCTGGCAGGCCGGGAAAGGATTAGGCAAGTCAGGACAGGGGATCGTCAACCCCATAGAGGTAAATTGCAGTGGCTATTAGTGTTACATTTATTGGGGACTTGATAAATCAATTGGAAAATTCCTTGAATGCAATATTTACTTAGTAAGACACTTTCCCATAGAAACTGAAGATTTGTTGTTGCTACTGAATTTTAGCAAGTGTACAAGAAATTCTGTGTCACAAGTGAGTTGTTTTTTTTTGGGGGGGTCCCAAAAGAGAAAGATATATTAAACAATATTTTGCATAGAAAGTACTCCCCATTTCTGTAAAACTGTTGTATAAAATTGATGTTATTTGTGATTACAGGCTGAGAGGCGGGCCCAGGCGGCGGGACTAGGGATGAGGGGAGCTAATTATGGTACGACCTCCGGTGATGACTACAGGGAATCGGTAAAGAAGACCATGTTTGCCCGCTACCATGAAATGGACTCCTGATTCTGTGTTAATGTGTGTGTGCGTGTTTGTTTGAATGTGAACATGAGAGATAACATGTAGTGTATGTTTGTAGGAAGAACTGAGAGGATCATCTTTTTTTGTGAATAATAACATGGCTCTGTGATACAGGGTGTTACACATGTAAAAACAAAATGTTTTATGCAAATTTAATAGATATGCCAAGGAGCAGATGATTTTTAATTTAGGGTACTTGTTACGGAATTATGTGAGAATAAATCCCTTGTTTTTCCTTTTACAATCTGTAAATATGTACAAAGTATACATAAATAAACTTAAGAAATATGGAGCTCATTGGTTTTTTTTTATTTTTGATTGTGTGTTTATAGTACCATTTTTCAATATGGAGAAAACTTGCCTCAAATTTTCCACTTCGGCAAGATGAGCAGTGTTAGGATTGTTTTGGTGCCAGCATTTTGCGACAGGTGTTTTCACTTGTGAGACCAGAATTTACTTATGCGAAAACATAGCGTCCGTCTGTCTGTCTGTAAACAATTTTTAGCTCAACTGAAGGTGAAGTGAGTTTCACACTTCTGTCTGTCCGTCTGCTTTAAACTTTGCAATATTCAAGAACCACTGGGCCAATTTCAACCAAACTTGCCACAAAGCATCCTTGGGTGAAGGGGATTGTGTTTGTTCAAATGAAGGGCCATGCCCTCATTCAAGGGGAGATAATTGGGAATTAATGAAAATTTGGTGGCATGTTTTAAAAATCTTCTTCTCAAGAACCTGTGCAAGGAAAGATAAAACTTATGTGGAAAAATCCTCAGGTAGTGTAGATTGAAGTTTGTTCAAGTCATGACCCCCGGGGGTAGGGCGGGGCCAAAATGGCCGCAAAGTTTTACATACAGATATATAGGAAAATTCTTTAAAATCTTTTATTGGAATGACAAAGCCATAATTCATCAAATTTATATGGAAGCATCCTCAGGTAGTGAAAAAAAGTTTCACAAATATACCCCCGGGGGTAACAAGGAATGGCCGACCAAAGTTTTACATAAGATATATAAAATTCTTTAAAAATCTTCTTCCAGAATGACAAAGCCATAATTCATCAAATTTATATAAGTATCCTCAGGTAGTGAAGATTCAAATTTGTTCAAATCATGACCCCCGGGGGTGGGGCGGGGCCAAAATGGCCGACGAAAGTTTTACATAGAAATTAATGGGAAAATTCTTTAAAAATCTTCTTCTCAAGAATGACAAAGCCATTTTTCATCATATTTATAGGGAAGCATCTTCAGGTAGTGTAGATTCAAATTTGTTCAAATCATGACCCCAGGGGGTAGGGCGGGGCCAAAATGGCCTACCAAAGTTTTACATAGAAATATATGGGAAAATTCTTTGAAGAATAGCAAATCCATGATTGATCATGATATTACTTTTGGATTTTAACTTTTCAATAATAAACCAATTTCTACTTTTTCTAAGCTACAGTACTCAGGTGAGCGATGTGACCCATGGGCCTCTTGTTCAAAATGCTACTCCTCCTACAGATTTGGTCCTATTGCAATGTAACTTGGCACACAAGTAGACTACACTAAGATACATAATGCTGTGCGTCGGTTTTTGATTTCGATGAACTTTGTTGCTATGGTTACTAAAAATAGAAAATTCTTTAATATATTTTCAAAATGCTACTCCTACTACAGTTTTGTTCTGATTTCAGTATAACTTGGCACACAAGTAGACTACACTAAGATACATAATTCTCTGCATCGGTTTTTGATTTCGATGAACGGTGTTGCCATGGTTACTAAAAATAGAAATTTCTTTGAAATTCTTTCAAAATGCTACTTCTCCTACAGTTTTAGTTCTATTTGAATATAACTTGGCACACAAGTAGACTACACTAAAATACATAATTCTGTGCATCGGTTTTTGATTTCGATGAATGGTGTTGCCGAGGTTACTAAAAATAGAAATTTCTTTGAAATTCTTTCAAAATACTACTCCTACAGTTTTGGTCTGATTTCAGTGTAACTTGGCACACAAGTAGACTTCACTAAGATACATAATTCTGTGCATCGGTTTTTTATTTCGATGAACGGTGTTGCCATGGTTACTAAAAATAAAAATTTCTGTGAAATTCTTTCAAAATGCTACTCCTGCATTTTTGGCCTGATTTCAATATAACTTGGCACACAAGAAGACTTCACTAAGATACATAATTCTCTGCATCGGTTTTGCTTTGATGAGTGGCAAGGATCATTTTTATACCCCCCGCAAACGAAGTTTGGGGGGTATATAGGTATCACCTTGTCCATTTCTGTACATCGTGTCCGGTAATATAAACAAACAGAGGGACATTAGAATCTACTACTCCACACTAAAATTGCTCATGGCCTAAGGGTTTGTCATGACCTTGACCCAAGGTCATTTGGGGAAGTTCAAGGTCACTGGAAGAAAAATTTCATAATTCGTGTCCGGTCCATATCTTTCTAAAATAAACTTGGTAGGTTCTCATTTCACACAAAGATTGCCCATGACCCAAGGGAGTGTCATGACCTTGACCCAAGGTCATTTGGGGAAGTTCAAGGTTGGAAGAAAAAGGGATGTCCATAAAGGTTCTCATTTCATCAAAGATTGCCCATGACTCAAGGGAGTGTCATGACCTTAACCCAAGGTAATTTCCATTTTTCAAGGTCACTGAATAAAAATTTCATAATTCGTGTTGAAGATATATAGTATATCTTTATTATGGAAGAACTTACTTCTGAAAAACCCAGTGGGGGGTATTTTGTCCCGTTTGGACAGTTCTAGTTCTATTAATTCCTGTTTTTAAAGTTTCAGGTCGCAACTGCTACTTTTCTCTTCCTTTGTTTTAAGTATAAACCAGTAGAGCTACAGTCTCGACAGAGACTTCTGGTTGATGCTTTTAGTACTAATTTACAAAAGCCTTATATTGCATTTGAAGATACAGTGTTAGGATTGTTTTGGTATGATTTTGGTCAGGTGTTTTCACTTGTAGAACTAGAATTTACAGAAAACATACTTGCCTGTAATGAACAGATGCCAACAGTGAAGTGGTTTACTTCCCCCTGGCTTTAGATTGTGATATTGGAAGAGGAAACGAAGCAGAAATTTTCTTGTCATGGGTTGTGTATTTTAAGGGAAAGAATACAGATGTCAGACATATCAAACTTACCGTTCTAAGGAATATCAAAGCCTGTAAAAGGAAGTGGGGATATGGAAAATGAATGTAAATTCCAGTAAATTAAGCTGCTGTATTATTCCAGTAATATAAGGTGCTATGATGTACAATACACACGATGGGTTTTTCAATTTTTATTGGATATTCACTCCTAACAGTCAAGTATTTGGATCACAGTCTTGGAAAAAAAGTATCACAAATATATGAACAAGGAATTCAACAGAATAAAATACAATCCTTTTATTGTCTTTAATAAAACAAGCAAAAATCCGAGCTGTATAATTCTCAGCATTATGATTATTAATAGAAATCAACACAATACTTTACCCCATTTATTGTAAAATTACGAAACTGGGCACAGTACTTTGTCATCAACGTAATTTGCTTTATACACAGAAGCTTGGTTGAACATCATATTTTGCATTATGATATTTAACCCTAAGTAATGTAAAACCATCGGTTTAAGCACCAACTAATCTGGATACAAACTTGTTTACATAAAAGGAGGAGTGATAATTGATTGGATGCTACGATTAAACAAACACAAACATGGAATGACAAAGGTAGCAAAATGGTTTTCAATTTTTTTTTCATAATTTTTTTTTATTGGTGTGAGTTTACCAGCTTGAAGCATCATATATACATGTACTAGCTGAAATACTTGCAAAAAGAACATGGCTCGAAAAAAAATTACCGACACAAAAATCCACTCACTTTCACACCATATGATAACATGCCTTGGCCAATTAAAATCTATCATTAATTAGGGGACCTGAGACTTATATCAAGTACATGCCCTTGTAATGAAATGCTGAAGAGATTTTACTCTAAAAATGTTACAAACTCCATTTCATTTTGAACACCACAGGAAAACTGTCACGTCGCCCATGCCTGAACATATGGACAGATGTTTTATCTGGTGGAGTACTTCTGGTTATCCTTGTTTATACTTTATATGGTTAAAATGAGGAATGGATCCTTATTCCTTTTCTGGTACCTCGGTATCCGTCATTTCGTAATGTTCTCCTGTAATATAAACAAACCACGTGTAAGTATTGAATAGCAAAAAAGGTGGACTTATGAACATCACAACTGCTTTAGCTAAAAAAAAAACCAACCGGTAAGGTTAACATTTACCAGACTGGCAGTTGTGGATCCAAGTTCTAATTTTAAAAGAAAGAAGGGATGTTAAAATATGATTATCCCCCTGAAAATTTCCATTTTTTAAGTAGGCCTGATAAAAATTTCTTAATACACGACAGTTGAAGATATATAGTATATACATTTTGATTGAAAAGGAGGGAATTAAATTGAAACCGGCCCCACCCTCCAGCGGGCAAAACCACTGAAAGCGGAACATGAAAAGCCATACATAATAGAACAAACTTCAAGTACTTTTTATTTAAAAAAAAAAAAAGAAGTAATATCTCATTTAATTTCTTATGAGATTTAAATACACAGTCATGCACTTGTTCTGAAATTATATATTGATAAGAAAAAATAGCTAGACATTTTACAAGTGCAGAAAAAAACCAGTATAACCAAAGTAACAAACAGAAAAGCGGATATAGTTGTTTCCATCATCGCTCAAGCGTTTTCAACTCAAAATGTATACTGGTGTATCACTTATCTACCATTTCTGAATCTCGTTTTTTTTCTTGTCTTAATGTATACGCTCAACGTAAGTAATACTCTTCACTCATTAAAGTCTAATACATTTCCTCTGCACATGTCTTGCTGAGATTTCTTAATATAAAAGTAAAGTACTTTTACTGAATCAAAAATCATCCCCGAAAGTAAAGTCCATAGATCATTTAGGAATTCCATGATCGTAAAGACTTTCTAAGCAAAACCCACAAAAAGCCAAACAGCAAAAAGAAATGCCGCATGATTGGCTTAATGAATACGTAGTACTTCACACAAGCAAAGCAACAATCCAGAAGTGGAAAAATGTATATTTACCAAATATATCCTCTAAAAGTTTGTCTTAAATTAAAGGATAGCGTGTGAAAAAGCAACCAATCAAGGTTAATTATATTTCAGTGCAAGTGCACATGTCACACAGGGAGAGAAAAAAATTGTATGTGATTTTATCATGTTTATCGTTCTCAAATTAAATGATCACAAATAATGCACAATTCACAATTATAACGTAGTCCAATTGGCTTATAAAGTTGTTAACAAGAATACAATTAAGTAACAGTTTAACTTCCAAATATTACTTTAAAAAATAGTCTCATTACAAATTCATCCCAATCCTGAATACATATTATATAAATTAAATTAAAAAGGTAAGGGATATTAAAAAAACCCATCAGAGTGGATGATGAAACCTACCAGTCACTGCCACTTCCTGTCCGTCATGGAACCAGCTAATTTTGGCGCCATGAGCTGCGCGGACTTTGACGGTGAGCTCTATCTCACTGTGGAGACTGACGAACTGATTCTGGGGAGGGACTATGATTTCCGGAGGGTGGTGAAGGTGATGCTGGTGTGTGGCGGTGGCCACCTGCTCTTCCAGAGACAGCTGTTTAGACACGCGCCTGGCACTCACTTCCAGGACCTGGGTCCGTCCACTTGCTGTCTTCTGCTCCACTATAGCCTCCCTAGGAAATTCATAGCAAATATCGATACATGTACTGTCAATACAGTATATGAATATTTCGTTATCATAATGATGCCAAGAATTAATGATGGACAAATGGCACATGTTATCACGTTTTATAAAGTATTGAGCTACAAGTGTTTTATTTCTATATGAAGGTATCCAGCATTCATGAAACCCATGAGATAACGAACAGTATTCAAGATCATAAAACAATATGCATGTAAATCTCGTGCGTCTATCTTTGTGTTGGACGTTAAGGAGGTCTAATTTTCATGTAATTCTCATGTGACTGTCTTTGCGTTTGACGTCAGTGGGCAGGGACTACTATTGAAATTGACATGGGAGGCCTCATGTAATTTACATCTATTAGTCTAAATTTTAAGATTAAAATTTACAAATTTATCTCACAAGGAAATGGAATTATAAGGACTTATAATCACTTTCTAGTTAAAAGAGTATGCCAGAGGCATCAACGATAGTTGGAAACGTGGGATAATATACTAGTATGCATAACGGGTTTCGCCCAAATTATCCCACTTTTCCAACTATTGTTGATGCTCTGGCATACTCTACTAACTAGGCAGTGATTCCCTAAATAATCCTCACCAAAAACGTCAAATTTAGCGGTAAATTTCAAGGCAACAAACCTTGTTTCATTCATTTTCAAGGTATCCACATCAAGTATTTCTTTAACGTCCTCCATGGACATCAACCTGTCCACTGCCAAAAAAAAAAGAAATTTGTATATTTAAAATATTTCTGAATAAACATGGTAATAAAACAAAAACACATGCAGTAGATTGCAAAAGTTGTATTATGCCTAGTCTTATTCTTTTACTCTTATTCTTTATTATGCCAAGTAGAGTATAGCTCATGGATACAGCCTTACATTGTCTGGTTTCTCGTACGGTTGTGGAAGCAGATTCGCTAGCTTCAGCTGCTATAACCGACTCAGAGGCTTTCTCTTTCCCGCTTGTTTTTAATTCCTTTACTGATTTAACTTCAACATTTCCTTCAACAGATTTCGTGTGACTTTCCACTCGAGATGATTTTGTTTTGGACACAGACACCTTTGACGTCGAGGCTTGCATTGATATCGCACCAGAGTCAACAGTGTCAGCACCAGAAATCTCCACTACTTCTTCAAAAGAGACACTCTTGCTTTTTGCTGCACTCTGCAATGACGTGCCTCCTTTCTGAACAGCAGATTCCGTTGTCTCAGTGACTGTTTTCGTTGATACACCAGCCTCTTTACTTTCTGATTCCGCTCCCTCTACTGAATCCTTGACACTGGATGCCTCCTCCGAGTCTAAGCTCTGGGAGCGACGTTTCGTTTTTGATAGTTTACGTTTTTTACTTCTATTGATTTTTTCCATTTCACTGGCTGCCTCTGCGACTGATTCTTCCATGACAGACTTGGCCAAAACTTCTTCGAAAGATAAGTCATTCTTTTCAGTTTTCGTTGAATCAGATTCAGCTAAAATTGTTTCTGCTTGTTGTACTAGGTGATCGATATCAAGTTCGCTTTCGTCTGCAGTCTTTGGAGATGTTTTAGAACTTTTGTCAGTGTCCACTTCCTTTTGTACAACCTTACCCTCAGATATTTCATTCACTTCAGTCACTTCTTTTTCCTCAGAGGCTTTTGCCTCTTTTAAGTTAGCAGATACAGCAGAATCAGCCTTTGCAGTATCAAACTTATCCTCAGATTTCTTCTCTTCAGATTTCTTTTCAGATTTTAATGAAGTTTCAGCTTGATTCTCATCGTGTTTTATTTGTTGGATTGAGGAGGTTTCTTCCGCTTTTTCCTGTTTTTCCGCAACTTCTTTTTCTTCAGAGGCTTTTGCCTCTTTTAAGTTAGCAGAAACAGCAGAATCAGCCTTTGCAGTATCAAACTTATCCTCGGATTTCTTCTCTTCAGATTTCTTTTCAGATTTTAATGCCGTTTCAGCTTGATTCTCATCGTGTTTTATTTGTTGGATTGAGGAGGTTTCTTCTGCTTTTTCCTGTTTTTCCGCAACTTCTTTTTTCATCATAGCAGCATTTTCTACAGAAGCAAAGGCAACATTTTCTGTCAAAGAGACTTCTTCGGCAGATTCCATTGTCTTTGGTGTGGACAACATCTTTTCCTCTGGTACCTGAGTTGCTGCTTTTTCTTCAGCAACTGCTGTTTTTTCTTCAATATCAGTTTTCTCTGCAGCCGTCAACTTTTCGGGAACAACAACTTCCTTTTCAGCTGTTGCATTCTCCTTAGCAGACGACACTTCTACTACTGCCTCCTCCAACTCTGTTGGTTTCTCTTTCATTGAAGTGTCCTCGACTGGAGCTTTTTCATCGTCTGGCTTCACAGTAGCTTCACGAACTTCCTCCTTTGCCCCTGCAACTTCTTCTGCTTCAACTGGCTCCTCTTTACCTTCCGCTAATGGTTCTAAAGATTTCTCAGCAGTGTCTTTAACAGAGTCAGTAGACTCACTTTGTGGTATAGCTGGTTCCTCTGATTTGTCCACCTCCCCAGAGATGCTTAGGCGCCTGGTCTCCTTACAATCCTCTACAAATAAAAAAATATAAATACTTTTGTTTTCAAACGTTGATATTGCTTGCATTCAATAAAAATATTTAAATTATGAAATAGGAAAATTAAAAAAAATCTATGCCCAAAAAGAAATATATGACAGACCGCTGACAATAAGTTTTGCTGTTTGCTTGCTTCTCCCTAGGGTGTTTTTAGCGACACACACGTACATTCCACCATCACGTCGACTGACGTCATTAATAGTTAAAGTTGTCTCTCCTGGAACGTTGTCAATTGTTATTCTCTTGGACTGGTAAAGATCTAGCATATCTTTCTGCCTGATTTTAGAAGAAAAAAAATCATTTATTATAAATTTTTAAACATTTTGTGTGCGTGAAATGAAGTGAGAAAAAGAATGGTATTCGAGCTCAAAAGTGCATTAAATAATACAAATTAGGAGCAGAGCAAACGCGGACCTCTAATACATGAGAGGTGGGAACAGGTGCCATGGAGAAGTGATCATCTCCTCCCGAGTGATCATCTCCTCCCGACGGGTCACACACGCTGTGTGTTAGTTGTCACGATCGGGAAATAAAGGACAAGTTTGTCGACAACTCGGTGTGTAAATAATGGCCTTATAATTAGTATGAAAAACCCCAGTCAGCATTTGACTTGATGGTTGATTGTATTTGGTGACAAGGTCATAGTAACGACCATGGGATTTACGAAATTATGACTTTAAATGAGAGAGAGAGAGAGTTATGTATGATGCATGTGTATATATGAATGAAAAAGGATAAACTCGCCATTTGAATTTAGGTACAGGATATCCGGAAGCAGAACACTTAAACGTCACGACTCCACCGACAGGTGCCATAATTCCCTCCATTTTGCTCGTGAATTCTGGAGCTGAATTTTCTAGTTTAGCGGTGTCAACCTCCTCCACCACAGCTGAAACACAAGCAGTAGCGAACGATTCAATAGGAAATGAAACGAAAATACTGTAAATCAAATATTATTCGCGTCATCTTTTATTTGCTATTCGTCAGTTTGAAATTAATCCGCAATTATTATAATTGACGATAAATATTACTGACATACCCTCCATGGTAAGATAAGCACTAGAAGAACAGCAGCCTGACTCGCTTGTGGCCTCCACAGTGTAGCAGCCCTCGTCTGATTTCTTAAAATCCTCAATAGTCAGACTGTGCTGCTGGTTCAAGTTCTAAAACATGAAACGTGAAGATAATGAACAGAGATCAGTTAAATCTCGTAATGTAAGTAAATATTCCGCAGTGTGAATAGGACAAACACACGGATCACAGAAAACAACAGCGGTGGGATCAGGTAGCAAGGGGTACTAAACATCCCTTGTCATTGGTCACACCTGTTATAAACCCTATGTATGATCAGGTAGAAAAAGTCAAATAAAATACAGCAGAACAACTAATGTTTAAAAAAAAGTCATTGTTGAGCTTATTCTTCAGTAGCTTGCATTGGTTTAGAAAATAATCGCACTTAGATCATACTAGTAATCGAGTCCGTTGGGAGATATATGTACACCATGTTCAAGAGATTATGAAATGCTGCTACATAAATATGGAAAATTGACGATGGGAAAAATAAAGTCATTCTTCTCGTCATGCAATTTACTTATTAGTTGCTCAGTATCGTCTATAAACAGTAAAACATCCAGAGATTAAGTAAATGTGACAGACTCAAACATTTCTTTCACTTTGAGTTTACCTGAACATATCGAGTCGACATATAAATATCGTAAAATAATTTTTTTGTTTAAACAAAACTGTTTATAATATCTGACAATTTTATTGGAATTGTTTTCTTTTAACAAAAAAACACAATAACTTACTGTGATCTTGTACTTTCCGTGTCTAGAAACAATCTCCTTTCCGTGTCTTAGCCATTTCACTTCCGGTTCTGGATTGCCCTTTACGACACAATCCAAACTCGTACCTTTTCCTTGAAATACTTTTTTATCCTTCAGAGACAGGAAGAACTTGGGTGGAACATTTTCTGGAGGTTCATCCCGATCTATAGTCTCAACTTTCTGCATCTCAAGGGCTATCAAAGATTTAAAAAGGCTTTTCACATGTGTGCGAGAAATAATTTCAGGGCAATTTTTTTTAAAATCAGAAACAGTATTGGAATCTACATAACCCAAGATGTGCTTTGTTCATAGCTTCTTAACAAAACATAAGAAAATGTTACAAATGTATTCTTCTTATGCCTTCTACTACCTTTCACATGGAGAGTTGTTTTGGTGCTATAACTTCCATTCTCCCCATACACGATACATTCGTACTCTCCGGTATCCAAAATGTGAAGTCTCTTTAGAAGCACACTAGCAATCCGGGTATCTGGATCCCATTCCAGACGGACTCGACTGGACTGCTCCAGTTTAACACCATCTTTGAACCTGACGGTAATGGAAGATATTGAAAGTGGGAGAATGGTAATTATATACCAACACATCGACGATCGTCTAAAAACGGCAAATTCAGTGAAAACTTTGCAAATGCAAATTCAGTGAAAACTCAAACCTGTCAATGAAATGACTTATATAGATTTAGCATTTTCCATGATATAAAAGATTTGGTTTCGAGGAATGGACAAGAAGCAACTCATATACAAGTATAATTCCAAAAACGTTTGATCAATTAAATTAATAGTACATGTCTAATACTGTAGACGTACTTTTTTCCACGGGGTCAAAATCCCGCGGAATCTCTATTTCTTTTTAATTCGCTGGTAAAAAATTACGCGGATTTCCTAGATTCTCAGTATCTGCCTTACATGTATATCGAGTCCAATGGGACATTTCCGCGGAAAGTTTGTGTCCGCGTACATAGCGTAAATTAATACTACGTGGATAAAAGTACTTCTGCAGTATTTAAAATAGAGACAAATGGGAGATTATACTGACCATACTATCTTTGGACACGGCTCCCCTGCCACCACACATTGGATTCTAACGTTTTCATCTCTCTCTAAGGGATACAACTCTTCATCCAAAGCTTGGCTAAAGTGAGGACTGGTCTGAGAAGCGGGTAATTCCTCCTCTATCCAAACAAAATGTGTTTGCATGTGTTTGTAATTCGTATTAATTTTTTTTTTCTTTTAAGTTCAAATTCATTAAAATAAGAGACTTTTATGAAATATTTAAAAAGCGTCAAAGTGTAAAAAAGGCGGAAGTATAAAACATGTGAAGGGATAAATCATCAAGGAAAAACATCAAAAGAAAGAGTATATGTATTTATCGAAAACAATGTACACTTTATTTAAAATCGAATGTCCACAAAAATACACACCACTGAAATCTGGAAATAACAATATCAGGAAAGAGAATATTTACATGGAGAGGATAGGAAATGATAATTTTCTATTGTCAGACAACCAAGAAAAGATCACCAATTCTCAAAGTACACAAAGTATTTAATTTGTTTATGGGTAAATAGAGTGATTCAAAAACAGTCTACAAGAACCATGGCTGGAAAGAGGAAACCAAAAACTATAACTACGAGGTAAATACGCTTGAGAGGAGGATGTTGGGGAATGGTGGAGTGTTAAACTTGATACCTTTCTCGGCCTTATCAAGAGGACTGGAATGGCCTGTTTAAAGTTCAACACATTTAGGTTGGTATATATCCTTAGAACATTTTATTGATATCATTTATTGTAAATATACTACCAGTGTATAAAAGAAGATTACAATATCGGAACTGCTTTTCATATTAATGCAATATTTGTGCTCATTATCAAGGATGAGTCATAATAATGAGCCATCATATTCCATATTTGTGCAATAGATATTGGGGAAAATACAATGCTTACAATGTACCCCTGTTGGGGAAACCATTGGAATGTGCATTTTGTCAGCATCCGATTGTCCTTCTTCGCATACTTCTTGGAGGTCAACACTTCAAAGAAAAAAGTTCAAAATCCATGAGCAACTTTGAAAAAGGCAGAGCAAAATACTATATTAAAATCTGTCAATACAACTTTGACTCTGGATATATAAAAATCCAAACAACATTACAAACTTCAAGGCTTGCAATATTTCTGCGATGCCTAGATGTCAAATTTGATTTGATAAAGGTGATTAGCTTGGAAAAGTTGTTTAAGTTATAATAAAACAATATAATGTATTGTCATAACGACTAGTATATTAACACTTTTAAGTTTTTAGAATATTATACTAGTGTTTTATAAACCCACATTAATGTCATCTTATGACACAATTTTATTATTTCATATTCTTACCTGGGCGGTATTTGTAACTTCAGTTCTTCTTGCTCAGTAGATATCTGTTTTTCCACCAGGGGTAAAAGATCTCTTTCCTTGATGTCCTCCTCATCAGGTCCTGTGCTTTCCTCTATTGAAGCCGTTGTCAAGATAGACACTTTACATCTTGACACCACCTCCTCCTGTTCTCCCGAGCTTGATCCTCCTACGAGTTTAGCCATGTACACACCTGAGTTTACTTTGTGATTAACCTTCTTGATCTCCAAAGCGTGGACATCGTGAGAATCTTTTATGAAAATATTTTCACTGGCCTCGATTGGTTTATTTTCGTGCATCCAAATAACTTGAAAAAAAAATCATGAAATCACGTTAAATAGCTTATAAAACCCACTATTCTCCGAAAAATTATGCATGTCATCTTTCATCTTAGATATGATCACAATTACAATCATACCTTCTGGTTTTGGTAGTCCATCAGTGATGCACTGAAGAAGCAAATCATCTCCATCTTTTAAATCCAATTTGTTTGGTAGATTTTTGACAAAGGTTGGTGGTTGAGGCTCTCTTTCCTCTTCTTTTGGTGCGGCTTCCTGTGTCTCAACTGGTTCTTTCACAGTCTCTGATGCTTCTTTTGTTTCAGTTTCCTTCTGTTCTTCCCGTAGGTCTGTTTTCTCTTTCTCTTCTTGAGACTTCTCTGCCACTGCAGGGGCTTGTCCTTCCTCTTCCAATGCTTTCTCCACATCCACTTTCTCTACCTCTGCCGCAGGTTTTTCAGCATCGACCTTCTCTTGTACCTTCTCTATCTTTTCTACCGATTCCTTGATCTCAGGAGGAGTAGTTTCTTCAGAAACAGCTTTTTGTCCATCGATAACGTCAGTTTTTGATTCTTCTTTTTCAGACTTTTGAACAATTGGTGTTATGCTGGGTGATGCCGGTTTTTCAATGCCTTCTACTTCAGAGGTTTTTACTTTCTTTTCTATAGGTGACGACACTCTTTGTGCTACATAGATAATAAATATTTAAAATGTAAATACTTTGGTTTTAAGAATGTCAGAAGAAAAAATTCTGATTATGATTCAATAGTATTATACAATTGACTCACCAGGAACTGATAAACTAAAATCTTTAGCAGATGATATATCACTATACATTGAGTCATCTCTTTCATTTGCTTTAAACTCAGTTTCTTGCTTGGCATTCAAAATGTCTTGAGTGACCTCAGTACACAAACTTTGGTCATCAGTTTTGTTAGTGCTGTGCTCAGTGTGCAGTGTTGTGTCTTCTTGTGCTCTTTGCTCTGAAGACAGAGAGTATTTGTCACTAGATTGTGCATGTGAAAGGTCAAAGGGAGTGGTAAGAGATTCTACGTTTTCGGATTCAGGGGACATTGAAAGCGAAATGTGTGCATCGTCAGATTTTGCAAATATATTTTCAATATTCTCGTGTACCGCAGGACCCATTTGGACTGCTGGATGTGCTTTAACGGTCTCTTCCATTGGTCCTGAAACAGTAGAAGCAACTGAGGATGTAATTTGGAATCCCTCTGAATGAGCAGTATCGACAGTGGATACAGGTTTAATATCGTTGGCAGTCAATTTTGCTGGTTCTTGCTTCTCGCTTATGTCCATCTGCATCTCAATATCTACGCGATCTTCTGTGTTGTCGACTCCAAGTACTTCATATGATCCTTTCATTGATCTATTCATCTTATTTTTGCTAGTCGTTTTGGTGAAAGGCATTTCCTCTGTGTTTGATCTTGCTTCTTCTTTTGCATCATTGTCAATTCTATCAACACCTTCCTGAGACAGTTTTGAAATATTAGCGAAGGTTTCTGAAACTGAATCATACATGGACAAAGGTCCCTTCCCATGAACATCAGATTTGAGTAAAGCATCCTGTAATGGTATTTGCCCTGTGTTCGACCTTGTTTCTTCTTTTGCATCATCGTCAATTCTATCAATACCTGCCTGGGTTGGTTTTGAAGCATCGGCAAAAGTTTCCGAAACTTTTTCATCCAAGGATATAGCATCAGGTCCCTTCCCATGAACATCAGACTTTACTGAAGCATTCTCTAATGGTATTTGCTCTATGTTCGATCTTGTTTTTTCTTTCGCATCAGTGTAAATTCTATCAACATCTTCCTGAGACGATTTTGAAGCATCGGCGAAAGTTTCCGAAACTTTTTCATCCATGGATGTAGCATCAGGTCCCTTCCCATGAACAACAGATTTTAATGAAGCATCCTCAAATGGTATTTGCTCTATGTTCGATCTTGCTTTTTCTTTCGCATCAGTGTCAATTCTATCAACACCTTCCTGGGACGGTTTTGAAACATCGGCGAAAGTTTCCGAAGCCTTTTCATCCAAAGATATAGCATCAGGTCCCTTCCCATGAACATCAGATTTTACAGAAGCATCCTCTAATGATTTTTCCGAATTCACACTAACCTCTCTTTCTGAAACACTTGTTTCAGATGCTTTCTCGATTTTGTCAGTACCAGAATCGTGTTCCAAGGACTTAATATCAATTTCTGAAGGAAGGGTATAATCAATTTGATGTTCAACTTCAGTTGAAGACACATTAGTTGACGGGATCTGCACAACATTTGAATCAGATTGCACTTCGTACACTGTTACTGAATCTGTTTCAGAAGGTGTATTATACTTGACATTCTCCGCATTAGCTGCCATGAGCTGTTTTGATTCCCGTTTTATTTGTTGATCAGCTTCAGCTAAAGATTGTGTCTGTTCAGATTTGGGCACAGAAATATCTACAGGTGCTTGTTTGTTAGAATCGTTTGTGACATCAGTTAATAGAGACCTTTCGACTAAAGGAATAGAAGAAGTGTCAACATTTATTGTTACTGGTGTTAAAGAAAATAAAGACTGGTCATGAGATAAAGGAATTGTTAATTTAGACTCAAAAGATTCAGGTTTTGATAGAGATTTATCAGGTGAGGTTTGATTTATATCCACTTCTGTCGATTGTGCAACATTACCAGCTTTTAAAGTCTCGTCCAGGACTGTCAGGATTTCGGATGACTTCAGAGGCGTCTCTTTTATGGCATCGGCCTTTTCTGTGGTCACATTATCCTTCTGTTGTTCTATTGATTCAGTTGAATCTACACCAGCTCTCCAGGCCCTTGGTTTCTGGATTGGTACGTCACTTACAATACCTTTAGCATCTTTTGTTCTGCTGATGATTCTCTCAACTTCAATGTTACAGGATACCTCATCACATGCATCTGCCATAGAATCTAAAAAACCAAATAATTTATTATTATTATTTTAGTTTTCAACATCTAGTTATCTATAACATAAACCCATGTTAATTAAATGGGTGCTTCAATTTTTACGATAGTCAATTTGTAGCATACCTAAAACCTGGAGTTTTGCTATGCTTCGGCAGCGCCCTGCCATGCTCTGGGCCTCACACTTGTACAATCCTGTATCACATTCCTCAGTGTCATGAATCAAAAGAAAAGCCTGTCCCTTCTCTCCTTGGTGGATGTCGATTCTGTCAGTATGTTGGAGTTCTATTCCATCCTTGAACCTACATTAAAGGGAAATATATTCCTTCAGCTTTCATTCATTTAGAAAATAGTTCAGTAAGAATGTTTACAAAAAACATAATATTATTACTAATCTTTACGCTGAAATTAAGGTTTTACGCGTGCTTCTATAAGGATACTTGTCATTATTCCATTTACTGCTATCTTAATTTTACTTATCACTTATTCTGCAATTATCAAAAAAAACGTTCCTGTAAACTTTAGACTTACCATCTGACAAAGGGAGCAGGGGTACCTTTCACTTTACAGCTGAATGTAGCGGCTTGTCCTTTTTTAACGTGGACGTAATGGATTGGCTCGATAAATTCGGGGTGTTTGTAATCCACACGAGGATCAAAGACGGCTACAATTATAAGAGAGGTTGATAACTAAATTCATTCAATTTTCAAACACTAATTAAAGTGTGGAAACCTTCCTACAAGTCTATAAACGTACGTTCCACTTGGAGGTAACAGTTGGATTTAATCTTCCCCTCCTCATTGCGGACCTCCACCATATACTCGCCCGTGTCGTAAGTGGAGGTGACCGGGATCTCAAGGCTAAGGAAGCCTCCGTTGCTCTAAAATTTGATCACATTTTAACGATTTTTCAGATTGAAAAGTAAATTACGAAATAGTTGACCAGATGAATTACTTATAAGCTTATTTACCTCGTTATTATTTTATTTGGAAAGGATGAAGATTGCATATAACCGTCAAAAAATTGTGAGAAAGTCTTATAGATTTACCCTGATTTGGAAATTTTCTTCTTCGTCCCTTGACAATGCAATCCCTCGCCGATACCATAAAACAACGAAGGGTTCTTTACCGGTGACGAAACACGATAGGAGGACACTGTTGCCCTCCAAGGAAGACTTACTTTTAAGTCTTTCTATGAACGAGAGCGGCTTATCCTGTACCCAGTTGGTCCCCAGCTTCAGAAGCGCTTGTCTCTCCTTGTCATACATTGAATTTAACATCTTATTTTTAGTCTCCAACTCCGGACCTACAGACTGGGCTCTTTTTGGTTGCTGGCGCCTGGCCGGGAGTTTGGACGTTCGGATATCGTCAAAGTCGAAAAGCTCGATTTTGTTCTTTCTTGCCCTGTGTTTGGTGTAATCAAAGCCAGTGTCTTGTAATTTTTCTTTTCTCCATGAGGGTACTTCGCTGTCTTCCATATCATAGAAGGAATTGTTTGCTCTGTTTATGAATTGATCCAGGTTTTTAAGGTACATCTTTCTTTTGAATGCTTCGTCTGATAACATCTCTTCCCCATCCGTATTTGGTTCATTTTTTTCTGGCTTTTTGTATTCATTCAGGACTGGTTCCTCATCCCCAGTGTCTTCAGATGGACGTGACGATTGTTTACCTCTAGACATAGAAATGTTCAGTAGATCTCTGTCGACTTTGTACCTATATCCCTGCCTGTTAACAATCTCTCTTGCTTTCAAACTTAACCCAGGATTAATTTCTTTGATTGGCTTATTCTCGTCTGCAAAGTGTCTTGTAAGGGTCTGATACTTGATATCTTTTCGATGTTGTTTTCTTTTGCATGTTGTTTTGGAACTTTTGTCTGCTTTTTGTTTATTGTGTAGTTCTGCTCTATATGCCTCAATATCTGCAAATTCTGATTTTCCAACACTGCTTTCTCGTACAGAACGGATGAGTTCCTCAGTGTCACGTGACACAGACAATGACCTGGCTCGAGTATCTCTTTTTCCTAAAACTTTGTCCTCGTCCAATTTTCTGTCTGACGTAACGCTGATATCCCGAGCTAGAGAAGCTGACCTAGTCCGCCTTGGGCTGTCAAGATCTCGTGAAAAAGATGCCGACTTTGGTCGTGTTCGTGGTGACCGGAAACTCTCCTCTCTGTCCGAGTCGTAACCGGATTTTGATGCAAAGTCACGTGTTACACTAGCTGACTTAGGCCGACTTTCATATTTGGAAAAATCGTACGTCATGGCAACCGACTTTGGCCTTGGTCGCAGTGTGTAATATCCTTTCTTATCGTCAAGGATGAGTCTTGAGGATACATCTCGGCTTAGAGAGACAGATTTCGATCTTCTCAAATCAACACCTGTACCGACGGAGCAACTCCTTGTTAATTCTATCGCCTTTTTACTTAGACCTGGATTAATCTCATCACTAAATGCTGTTCTTCTGCGTGACGATTTAGGTTTGTAGCTAAAATCTTCAACACCACTAGATTTTTCAATTCCCTTGTCGAGAGGTTTTCTTTTTGTCAGGCTGTCGAAGATTTTCTTGGACTCAAGCTTCCTCTGAAGCTCCATTTCTTGCAGGAGATCGTTCTTTGTCCCATATTTGTAATCAGTTGTGAAAAGATCAGTATTTTTGTTTTTGTATTCATTTTCAAGTTCATATTTGCTCGTTTTTCCTTTCAGATCTTCATCATCGTAACGTTTTCTTGGTTTGTAGTCGTTTTCAACATTATATATATTCATCCTGTCCGTGTTGTTGTCTTCATACCCTGGTGATTCATACTTTTTCTGTCTCCTTATGTCCAATGCACTGTAAAGATTAGATTTTCGATGACCTTTGAACTGTGAATCTAAATGGTACAGTTCTGACTTCTTTAAGTGAGGGGACGTCTCAAAAGTATACTGATCAGACTTCAGCATCATCCGCTCAGCTGCTTCGAACTTGGAGAGGTGGTGTCCAGTAAAGCTTGCCAGCTCCTCGTTTCTTGTCCGAGCCCGGCTGATTGAGAATTGGTCCCTCAGGTCTGCATTCGTTATCTGTTCTGTAAAAAAATAGATGTGAGATTTATACATACATGTATATTTTTTGTCAGATTCACCTAAGGAAAAATGAGATGACTTAATTTCATATACATGACGTATAGGAAATCTATATTGTACTTTTACTAAAATATTGATTGTTTAGTAATCATTTCCTACTTCTAATGGTGAGAAGCGCCTCGGTAAAACTGGAACCTTCGGAATTCCTTGCCACACAACGATATGTTCCACTGTCTCGATCCGCTACGGGCGAAAACAACTGTAGGAACGCTGTGCCGTCTCCTCGATAGGCCGTGTGTACAAAGCTGGACTTTCCAATGGGCTCGAGGTCCCTGTACCTGTAATATCAATGGACCATTTGACAAATTTGTACCGCATATTTTATTTCATTTTCATCTGGGAGGTTTTATTAACAATTTAGTATAAATGGATACAACTGCCAGTCATAAGAAATCCACATATAACTAAAATTAAAATTACATTAATATTGTGTTTAAATCTTTTTCATCTCAGGTTGTCATATGTTAAATCAAATAGCACTTAAGATACCATTCGATCCTTGGGATGGGGTTTCCGGTGACAATACATTGGAACTTGACACAGAATCCTTCCTCTACCTGCTGGTCCCTCAGAAAGGTCACAAACTTAGGTCTGGAAGGCAGATTGTACGGGTCTACAAAAATAGCAAAGGACTGAGAGGTCACAAACTTACGGTCTTCGAAAATAACAAGGACAAAATAAAGTCTTAGAATTATGTCTAGCAGCCAGACACTACATGCCTACAAAAATAACAAGGACAGAAAGGTCACAAACCTATGTCTGGAGGACAGACTTTACGGGCCTACAAAATAGCAAGGAAAAGAAAAGTGAAAACTTGGGTCTGGAGGAAAGACTGAACGGGATACAAAAAAGCAAAGGACAGAAAATGTCACAAACATAGCTCAGGGAGGGGGGGGACAGATATTGTGGGTCTAAAAAAGAAGAGGACAGAAACTTAACAAACTTAAGTCTGGAGGACAGACTTTATGGGTCTGCAAAATTGCAAAGGACAGAAAAGTAACAAGTTTAGGTCATATTTTGGTTTATAGGGCAAACAGAACGGGTCTACTAAAATAGCAAGGACAGACTCTACTGATCTATACAAATAGCAAGGGACAGAAAGGTCACAATGTTTGGTTTTGGATGGCAGACTCTATGGATCTGTAGATATGGCAAGGGATAGAAAAGTCACAATTAAACTTAGGTTTTGAGGGCAGATTGTACGTGTCTACAAAAGTAGCAAAGGACTGAAAGGTCACAAACTTATCATTAGGACTGGAGAGGGTGGTCTTTACGGATCGATAAAAAATACCAAATACAGAAAGGTCACAAAGTTTGCATTGGAGGGCAGATTCTGTGGGACTATAAAAAACAAGGACAAAAATAATAGGTTTGGACGGCAGACTGAACGGATCTATGAAAATGGCAAGGACTGAAAAGTTACGAAATTTGGATTGGAGGAAGATTGTACGTAAGTACAAATATAGTAAAGGGCAGGAAAAGTCACAGACTTACGTCTGGAGGAGGGCAGACTCAATTGATCTATAAAAATAGCAAAGGACAGAAAGGTCACACACTAAAGTCTTGAGGAGGGCAGACTCTACTGATCTATAAAAATAGCAAAGGACAGAAAAGTCACACACTAAAGTCTTGAGGAGGGCAGACTCTACTGATCTATAAAAATAGTAAGGGACAGAAAGGTCACACACTAAAGTCTTGAGGAGGGCAGACTCTACTGATCTATAAAAATAGTAAGGGACAGAAAGGTCACACACTAAAGTCTTGAGGAGGGCAGACTCTACTGATCTATAAAAATAGCAAAGGACAGAAAGGTCACACACTAAAGTCTTGAGGAGGGCAGACTCTACTGATCTATAAAAATAGCAAAGGACAGAAAGGTCACACACTAAAGTCTTGAGGAGGGCAGTCTCTACTGATCTATAAAAATAGTAAGGGACAGAAAGGTCACAAACTTAAGTCTAGAGAAGGGCAGACTCTACTGATCTCGAATAATATATAGCAAGGGACAGACTCTTCTGATCTATACAAATAGCAAGGTATACAGAAAAGTCACAAAGTAAAGTCTAGAGAAGGGCAGACTCTACTGATCTATACAAATAGCAAGGTACAGAAAAGTCACAAACTAAAGTCTAGAGAAGGAAAGACTCTACTGATCTATACAAATAGCAAGTTACAGAAAAGTCACAAACTAAAGTCTAGAGAAGGACCATTGTCTCAAGCCACGGTCCGGAGTCCGCATATAGCTCTCTCCTACCCGTGGCTGCTTGATCACAAAAAGTGTCATAATCTTGAATATTTACGCCTCTCCATTGTGACGTCATATTCAGTCAGTGGCAAGTTTTGTTTCCATCGCAATCGAAATCAACAACTGACGTCAACAGTATACAAGAAATATTTCCTTTACTGCGATTGGATATTGAAAGGTCGCGATAGAGTTCATCTTCCGACTATGCTTTACTCGCATTGGTCAAAATTTTAATGAGCTACGAAGAATTCTCTCCTCGTTCAACCACGGCCAGAATGGGAGAGGATCGTACAATTTTGCCGTGGTTTGCGACGATGGAGAAGGACAGACTCTACTGATCTATACAAATAGCAAGGACTAAAATTTCACAAACGTAGGTTTGGAGACAGATTGCACATGTATTACTTGGAAAGAGCATGGGTCAGAAAGGTCACAAATTTTGGTCCAGAGGCAGATTGTATGTTTCTGTAAAAAAGCAAAGGATCTAGGAGGAAAACACTTAACCTCTTGAATATCACTGAAATCGTGTTAACTATACATTTCTGATGTCTAATATTACGAGTCCAAGTGAGATTTAATGTCAAAATAGAGTTTTGGCTAATAAATCGTATACATGTACTAGTAAACAAAATACATTGTAATTTTATTAGCGTAAAATCATTTTGTTCCCTCTGTTCTATGGTGGTGCTCTCTGTTCTTTGGTGGTGCTCTCTGTTCTTTGGTGGTGCTCTGATTTTGTGAAACACATGCACGTATAGTAGTTTTAAGTCTTTTCTATCAAATACATACTAACATTTTGTAGCTCTTATATATTTGTAAAAATATGAACGCACAGCAAATATTATTGACTTGAATACACAACGTACTATTATTTGATATATCTTTGAGAAATTTCAGAAATTTCATTAAAAATATTTTCCCTTCTCAATATAATTTTTAAGTATATTATTTTTAAAAACTGAATATCAACAGTTCAGGCAAAATCATACGTTTGAAAACTCGTAAAGATGAAAATTCAAACCCATTTCAAATGCACCTTTTCTCTTATGATATTTAAAAAGGAATTCATTGTTCTACTATTTACTCAGGGCTTACTTAATTTTATGAACAGTTTACTTTCAATAATGAGCCAAACATGATCATTTTTAGGTTTAAAATAAACATGCATGAACTTTCAATAATGAATATAGAATGCAAAATAATGTATGTGTAATATAGGTTTAAATTAACCCCCCCCCTTTCTGGGAGTATTGCATTCTTTAATGATTTAGTGGCATCTCATTTGTGTCACAGGGCATTTGACAAGTTTTCCTTAAAGCAATATGAACTTTTATGTCGGATTTTTTTGTTGTAAAATTGTAAATAACTATTTCAATGACAGAAAAAAATAACATTAATAAACTTCTGCTGTTCGTATTTGTGACTGAAGAGCTATTTATAAGCTTTAATTGAATCAAAATTATATTATTGTCGTCCTGTACAATAATGATTTCTTATATAAAACTATATTGGATTGTATATAGAAGTCTTTCTTTTGCTTTATTTTAGTCTAATTGATCATAAAGGTTTAAGTTACATACAAATTTATCATAATAACACATTTGGAGAGCAAAATAAAATTTTCAAAAATGCAGCTCATATTGCTTTAAGATGATTTAATAATGAAATAGAACATGGTACTTTTTTTTTTACATCCAAATGCATTTTCCAATTAAATTAAACTTGATATAAAAAGAATACAAGTTTAAACGTTTTGAAAATATTGACATGATCATTTGCAAAGAAAAATGCTCTTTTAAATTGGATGGGATTGGGGTTCGTGGGATAGAATGGACTTGATACCAAAATCCTCTAAAAGTAAATAAAATTTATCCTCAGTTCAATGGACTACATGATATGCAATGAAAATAATAAATACAAATCATGATATTAATAAAATATATAGCAAAAATATCTAGAGGTATTGTGAGCAATGAGCTCACTTAAAGATACCCCCTGCCTCCAATATGAATATAATGGCAGTGTCTATGTTTTGCTGTGGAAACCCAAAATATGTGTAGAATCAAAAAGTAAAATAAGAGGCGCTCAATGGCAATATGTAATAAAGATTCTGTGAAAGTCTCATCAAATTTCATTCAGTGGTATGAAAGGAGTTGCAGATAAGAGATGTGTACCCCAAAGTGTAACAGACAGATGGACGTACATACACACGGACATCCCAATTACTATATACCCTCCAGCTTTTCAAGCGGGGATATAAATATAAGCAAATTAAGAGTAACATTTTAAAAAGTTTATTTTCCTTACAAATTCATTGAATTAGTTTGCTTATACATATACAACTGTATTCATTACAATAAAAAAAAGAACATTCTACTTGCATTCTTTCTTTCTAGAAGGTTGAGAAGATTAAAAGAACAACAAAACAGCTTTTAACTAACAAAAGATGAATCAAGGGCTACATGGATCAATGACCAGTTCAATGTCTCGCATAAAAGTAAATGCCCTTAAATACAATGTTTTCTGAATATCTGTGTATCTCCAATTGCCATAAACACAGTCATAAAGTCTAACAGCAATAAAACCGCCGACAACACTTCTCTCTGATATTCTATTAACACGATGAACAACAGTCTACTAAATCGAGCAAAAAAAAAAAAAACCTGCGATTTGTCTAGGTCATAATATGAACACTCTAGAGCTGGAATAAATTTCCCTTGCTGACTCAGTGAAGAGGCGCTCTTTCGGGTTGTGGCAGTGGTTTGGGATCGTAACCAATACGTTCATGAACTGTTCGATTATCTAAGTGAGACATCGGATGGATGCCAGATGTGGTTGGAGTTTGGCACTGTTCCGACAATAAACGCTGTTTCGTCTGCTCGTTTTCTTTCTCCTTTTTCATGTCATGGTATTCTTGCATGTCCTGAAGTTTTAGTTCAATCCGTGTAGGATTCCGTCGTAGCATGATACCGCCAGAAATGAGTTAGTTTTAATTTTTGAGTATTTCCAACACGGCAATATATTTAAAATATTCACAGGAAATAAATTATGTAAACTAAACGTCAACTGTACACGATCACTAAAAATATTTCCGTATTTGATTGTCTGTCCTTTTAAATGATTCGCGTTGTTTGAACACTCACATAAAATAGCAATATTTCTAATATAACTTCTGATTCCTACAATACTTCACCAAATATCAATCTAACGTGATTTTCCGGAATATGATAAAAAATATCTGTTATTGGCATTGTAGAAAACTTGGCTCTGTCTATAATGCATTATAGCGGATTTGCCTCGTGTTTTTATGCATTGTCTGTTTAGCTGTTTGTCTGTCTATTTGTCTGTCTGTTGTCAACTTTAATCTTCGCCATAACTTTCGAACCGCGAGAGATTGAGGCTTCATATTTAGTATGCATACTTCTCTAATTAAGCTCTTTCAAAGTCATTGACCTTGTGACCTTGACTGTGACCTATATGCTAAAAATAGCTTTTTCGAACTTTTGCCATAAATTTTGAACCAAAGGAGATAGAGACCTGCATATTTCGTGTGCATACTCCACTAATTAAGCTCTTTTAAATGACACCAAGGTCAATGGCATTGTCCTTGACTGTGACCTTTATGCTAAAAATAGCTTTTTCGAACGTTGTTGCCGCCGGGCGCATAGTGTTTCACAAACACATCTTGTTTCTCTTTATTTTGCAAGTTAAAGTGCGATGATGCCCCAAAGGCCCTGCACTGTATCGGAAGAAGAAAAAGATGTTTTATCATATTATGGCCTAACATTGTTTGTTGTTTGAATTCTCTCTGAGAATTTTTCACTCAGATGGAGACAACTGTCTCTGCTGGTAATTAACAAATATAAATATTTTATTGGCACAAACACAATTACAATAATTGGCAAAGACCCACTGAACATCATTTAACATGACTTTGTTAACTAAATCTTTATCTATTTATTTTACATTCTTAATTTATATCCCTTAATTGTTTTTTTTTTTTTGCAGAGATGTTTGACCAGCTGGAACCTATAAGCCTATCATTGTATAATCTTTCAGCATATAAATCCCTGTTTTGGCAAACAAAAGTAATAAGGTAGGTCAGAACAATCCTATAATGGCTATGTAGTCTTAGAGCCTGTACATCTTCACAATCTTACTGTTTAGAATTTGTTTCAAAATTTATGAAGAAAAAATAATAATAAAAAAAAAACTCACCAAGAAGCAAGTTGCAGGAAGATGACGTGGAACCATACTTGTCCTCAACTTCACAGCGCCATCTTCCGGCATCCGTCGCCTGGGCGTCGTGAATCCTTAGTTTGTACAGGTGAACTTCCTCATCGTCAGACTTATCCCCCTTGCCTACTTTACCCGCATACGTCACTGATGGTTTTGGTTTTGGATCATCTGGTATTAAAATGAGCCATAAATCATGAAACATTTATTTTTACACAAAATACAGTAGATATAAATAAAAAGTTAAACTGAGTAATATCAATTTTATAGTATGCATAGTTAGTAGCTTCATCTATTATGCATTCAAAATTTTTCTCTCTCTTTCTCTTTTTCTTTCTCGCATTACCGAGAATTGCAAGGTTGCATGACGTGGAGGTAGAACCGTATCTGTCCGCGACCTCGACCCTCCATTCCCCGGCGTCCTTGACATCAGTGTCATGAATTTTGAGTTTATACACGTGGACCTCCTCCTCAGAATCAGATGATCCCTCGAGTACGCCGGCCTTCACCACGGACATTATGATCTACAACATATAAAGTTGTCTGGCATGTTGTAAATTTTGAATGTCCCCTGTATTTACGGCCACTCGGTAAATTCAAAATTTACGACATGAAAATTCTGTATATTTTTATTGCTTGTTTTGATCTTCATCAGATCTGGTCAATAGTACTAATATGCAACTTATGTCAGCGTATCGCTTTTAAGGTAATTCCACCCTCCTATGATGTCATAGGTTTTTGCAAAAACTGTTTGAAGTTGGAAGTAATACCTGATAGAACAATATCTTTCAGAGGAATGCTTTTCAATAGGTGTACTGGTAAATATTGTAAAGTAAAAGAATTTTTGAAAAATGCATATTTTCTTTATTTAATTAATTATTCAATCTCTGAAAAATGTTGACAAGGGTAATAACTCCTTCTCAGGTCTCTTCATTCAGGCATTTTGCTTTATTGTACTTCTAGTGTAAAATATAGTTTCCCTGATATTCACAATTCAAAAGTATCTAAAAAGTAGGAAGTATAAAGGAACATTCAGCATCAGAATTATGCATTTTATCCAGTTTTTACATACTTTTCATAATACTGTTTATACAAAATGTGCGATTTTTTTTTTGGTTGAATTATATTTCTGTTAATTTATGTCTCCCATCTTAAATGTTATGGCGACCTATACATTTTTTGCAATAATTGGAAAATTAAAAGTATATTAAATGAAAATAAATGCAGTTTTTATACTTTGAGCCATTAGAATTGTGAGGGTGGAAAGATCTCAAGTTTAATAAAGCTTATTAACACAAAATGTTAATAAAACGATTGTGTTCTCAAAATAAAGATTTCTATTCAACTTAGCCTTGAGCTTGCCCCTGTACGCGTATCTAGCACAGATATTTTATAATGAGATGAGAGAAGGGAATTTCTTCCACACATATTGTAAATGAAATTAGGAATTTTTCAGGACTATCCACACAAGCATGTCCTCAAGTAAAAACCAACGTTAAAGCTATGCGTCGATTTATGAACAATACCGATAAAGGAATTAAATATGTGTACTAGTATAATCGCATCAAGCCAAAAAAAATTGTAAAAAGTGCGTGAGCTCTGGTCACCTTGAACCAATCCACCAACAAGAGATACGATCAAGTCAACTGTTGGCGGTACTTATACAGTTCTGTCTGCAGGCTCTTCCAGTCAAGGGACGTCTTGCCAATGTCATCATAATTAAATGCACAACTCTCGTTGGGCCATGATAGCATAAAACACGCATGAAACAGGAAAAGACGAGGAACAGTGATATACATGTACATATTTTAAAAACCTACAGAATATACATATGTGAACAGGGCATAAAACACGAAACCCCAGAATTCTGTCCATGCAAGCAAAGGTCGGGTCATATGGTGTCTATATAGTATTCCCAATCAGCTTAACTGAACAAATGGTTTACATAAGTAGTTCAACTGTTTCTTTAGACCCCATTTCCATAAACTGAAGCCTTT